ATCCTTCAAAGCAAGATCAACACCCCTGGCCACAAATGTTTTCCCTCGGGCTGGAGGCCTCCAGCACAGCCAGGCTGGGTCCTGGTGGCCAGCTCTGTTCCGTGACACCTGGATTGTCCTGTTGTTTACCCCAAGGACAGCCTGGTTCCACCACGGGCAGCCCCGGAGCCTTTGACGGGAGCGTTGGCGGTGACGCAAAGTTATCCTTGACAAAAATCCCTCCAAACAAAACCCTCTCACAGACACTCCTTTTCCATGAAGAGCTGCCAGTGGAAACCGGGGAGTTTTGCTCCTAACCTGGAGGCATTGGCATTGTCAGTGACCTTTACCCACGCTCTGGGTGGTGAAACCACATCAAGGCAGGGGCTGAGCAGTGCCTGGGGGTGCCCCTGAGCCCAGCGAGCCACCTGCTCTGGCACTGCTGGTAGGGCTTGGCAAGGACCCCTCCGTCCCTGTCCATCCCCATCCATCCCCACCCATCCAGCCCATCCATCCCATCCATCCCTGTCCATTCCTGTCCATCCCCATCCATCCCCATCCATCCCCATCCATCCCCTCTATCCCCTCCATCCCTGTCCATCCCCATCCATCCCCTCCATCCCCTCTAGGACAGACAGCCACCATCTCCAGGGTGATTTTCCTGCTGAGGAGGAGCCGGAAGGCCAGGGCAGGGGCAGAGATCAGGAGGCAAATCTTGGCTCTCAAACAATAGCTATTGTGTAAATGTATTTTTACTTCTGTCCTAAAAAAAATAAAACCCAAGTGATTTCAGTATGTCCTAAAAGTTGCAGTTACTTAAATGCCAGGATTTTCATGGAATCATAAAAGGGTTTGGCTTGGGAGGGACCCAAAGATCATCTTGTTCCATGGGCAGGGCCATCTTTCACTGCGCCAGGTTTCTGCAAGCCCCATCCAGGCTGGCCTTGAACATTTCCAGGGCTGGGGAGTCGATATCCAGAGAGGATGGACACAACTTTATATTTATATTTATATTTATATTTATATTTATATTTATATTTATATTTATATTTATATTTATATTTATATTTATATTTATATTTATCTATTGTTTATATTTATCTATTGTATATATTTATATATATTTATATGTTTATATATATTTATATATTTATATATATATATTTATTTATTTACATTTATATTACATTATATTACAGTGCCCACATTCTGTAGAAGCAAATAAATCTGAATCTTGTGATGCCCTGAGACCTGTCAGGGCTGCCTGGGGCCAAGGGGATGCCCTGGAGGGGCTGGGACTGGGCTCACTGGGGTGGGACAGAGACCCTGGGCTGGGGCACTGGGGTCCCAGGTGGGGGTCCCGGGTGGGGCCAGCCAGGGACATCCATGTGCTGGCAAAACCAAGCCCAGCACAAACTGTTTTGAGAGCTCCAGGTCATTTCAGTGAAGCAATCAAATGAATCAAGTCTGATTTTGCTGCTTTCTTCGCCTAATTAGACAACGGGGAGATTTATGGAATAATTGAGCCAACTCAATGTAACTGTAATTTGACATCTAATTAATCAATGTCCCACTCCTTCACAGGTGCAATATAAACCCTTCCTAACTGCTGCAGGCATCTCTCTATTGTTTCTGTGGAAAAAAACCCCCATCAAATCCCATTTCTTGCTTCCTCCTGCCACTGGAGCACGAGCAGCCGCAGGAATTCTGTCGCTGCCCCCAAACAGCAGAAGTGCTGATGCCGGGTGCTCACATCCCCCTGATCCCACGGGATGGCCTCGGTGAAGGCTGCTGGAGGCACAGCTGGCTCCTGATGCTGCTGAAAGTTTGGGAAGCAGCTTTTCTCACCAAAATACTCCTGGCTGCCAAGCCGGTGCCGGAGGTGTGTCAGTGGGGAGGGAAGGGATGGTGTTCCTGGCCAAGCCCGGGGAGCGCAGGAAGCTCTGAAGGTGCCACCAGGACACGCAGGGATCCAAGGAAAAACTCTGCCCTATTAGAGTTAATAGGAGTTTTGCATTTGACCTCAGCAAGGTCAAGGGTTTTACCCAAGGAATATTAGTCATCAGCATCGGGATGAATTAGAGGATTTGTCAATGAGAAGCAGGCAAGGTTAGTCCCACGGGTGGCTGAGCTTGGAATGGCTGGAAAAATAATGAAATAATGTCCAGCTTATTCCATTTATCCTGTGCTGCATGTGAGGCCTGTGTGAAATAGCTCAGCTTTTCTCACCTGCTCTGTCCCACTCCTGTCACACACCCTGGGGATCCCTGGGATCAGGGAGGAACTGTGGAGTAACATTTCCTTGGAAAGCTTCCCGGAGCTGGGCTCAGCTCTCACAAAGCAGCCCTGGGAAGGTGCACAGCCTATGGTTCCTAATTCCCAGGAAATCCCATCCAGCTGACTCCCGCTGGCAGCAGGGATCCAGACTCAAATCCCTGAAGGACACACGGGATGTGGCCCTGGGGTCACGGGGGACATCAGCTCTCCCAGGAAAATGTGGATTATTGTCCTTGCAGAAAGCAGATCCTGGAAGTGGGAGCCAACATTTTGAAGGATTTGTTTCCTAGAGAAGCAATGCTGATCTGTGAAACCCCAAGGGTTTGGAAATTGCTCACAGGAATGATCAGGGCCGGATTTAGATTTGGTTTAGGTTAAACCCTAAAGCTGGGTCTGTGTCCCCAGTATGTGGAAAGGACTGGGGGGGCTGGTTTGGACTGGGAGCTCTCTTCCATGGCAGAGTCCTGGAGCTGTGGGCTCTGAGGAGGTTGTTTGCATCCAGCCCCTTTTCCAGGATGTGCCCAAGGACCCTCAGAGAGCTCTCAGTGCTGTCATTGCAAAGGACCAGGATGGTTCCTGCAAGGATGAGCAAACCAACAGAGAAAATACTGCACAATCAGGGCTAACAACATCTTCCCTGTGGATATTTAAATCCAAAGTGGCTCAGATATCTAAATCCAAAACATTTTGGATATTTAAATCCAAAACATTTTGGATATTTAAATCCAAACTCTTCTGATACATGTTGTTTGAGAAAGAACCAACAAAAGCTATTTATACATTTGCTTGAGAAGTTCCCTGCTCTCATTCTACATTGGATTGATGATCTCTGTGTTTCTCCTTTTAGGAGGGTGACTGGAAGAAGTTGCCAGCTGAATTTCTGTTTCATTTTCCTCCAACTTTTAATTGAAGTCAGGAGAAGTGTGGCTGGGCTCCCTGTTTTAGGGAATTATTTCCTGGCACAGCTGGGGTGTCTCTGACTCCAGAGCAATGCATTCCACATTGTTCCCATCCCGCTGGGGTTGGAGGGAAGGGTGTGGGTGCCTGGTGACAAGGCTGGGGACAGCAGGTGACACAGAGCTCTGCTGGTCCCACACACGAGGTGCAGCACATTGGTGACATCGGTGACATCACTCAGAGGTGACAGACTGAGACTTGGCTCCGGGGGAAACGTGGAATATTTGGGCTGGAAAAGTTGTTTTTGATGGCCAGCTCAGGGTTAGCATTGAGCTCATCCCGTGGGTGGGTGAGCTCAGGGGAGCTGCAGGATGTAATTCTGGGACTCAAGGTGAGAAATTCCAAGTTCTCACCTATAAATTGACTTCATTCCCCACTGACTCAGGTTTGTCCGGAGGGCAAGGTGAGGATTTTTTGGTCCAGGTGTTGAAAATCTCCTTTCCTCATCCCCCAGACCTCCTGTGGAAATGTCCCATGGTGTGTCTGTCCTCACCCTTGCCTTGCTGCTGTTCCATGGTGGGCTTCCATATCTTCTGTGACTAAATTTAGCTTTAGCAAGGTTCTTCTTCTCTTTGCCACATTCCAGGGTCTGACACTCATCTCCATGTTTTAGTTGATCCAAGGGTTTCCAGGAATTTGAACATTTCATGTCTTTCCCAAAAGCACTGGGAAGTCTGGAGCCAGTTTTTGAGTTTTTTGGTTTTACTCTGCCTGTGCTGCGCCCACCTGTGGCCTCACCACCTTCCTGCAAGTCCCCTGGAGCCACCAGAATGGGAACTGATTAAAAATTACAGGAAAAAGAGCCAAGCAGGGGAATGCAGAGATCCCCAGGAGCGCAGGCAGCCCCAAAGAGGAACCCAGAGAAAGCAAACAGCCTTTCCAGCTCAGCCTGATTTCCCTTTCCCTGGCAGTTCTTGCCCTGGCACAGCTCCAGGTCCTTCTCCCCAGAAGGTCTGAGGGTGTTTGGATGGATCAGGTTGAGAAGCCCCTCAGTGCAGCTCCTGTGAGCCCTGGGCTCTGACCTGGCAGCAGAGCTCAGGCGCTCCCGTGCTGCCAGAAATTCATTTTTTCTCATTCTAATTTGGGTAAATGCTCCTTCCCAAACATTGGCATCTTACCTGTCAGAATAACAAATTCCAGAGCTCTGGCAGGAACACTCAGTGCTGGTGAGGGATCAGGCTCCAAGGACAAACACTTTACATTTCATGGGACAAGATTCCCACCTTTGAGCCAGAAACCTGTGGAGCAGGAACCAAACCACCCTGGCTGATCCCTCAGATCCCACCGAAAAAAAAAAAAAAATAGCTTTTTTTCCTCATTTTTCCACATTTCTGGAAACATTTTTTTGCCAAAGATACATTTTGCTAGGTTGGAAAATTTCAAATTTTATTTTTACCCAGCCTTGAATGATCTCTGAACTCATTTCTTCACTTGCAGACCCCTCATTCCTTTTTTGCCCTCCTCTTTTCCTTTCAGTCTCTTCTGCAGCACTTCCTCCACTTTGGAATCATTTGAAAGTAATGAAGAAAATCAAACAAACTGGGAATTTTCCAGATTTGCAGAAATTTTGAAAAGTTACAGAATGGAGAAAAGAATTTAAAAATAAAAAAAAAAAAAAGGAACATTTAAAAATTCCATTCAAAGTAGAGGAAAAGCAGGAAAAAAGAGGGAAAATCAAAAAGTTAAATATTTAAAATTATTTTCCAGCAGTACAAAATCTTTCAAATTTCCCCATTTAAACCTGAAAGCAGCAGCATGAACACAAACAAACAATAAAAAGATAAAGTCCACCGGGATTAAATAAAGAAAAATAACTTTTTACATCAAATTGATTAAGGAAAGCAAAAAGTGCTCATTCCTGGAATTCTCCTGGCAGTGTCAGAGACCTGGTGCAGCTCAGGTCAAGGGGTTGGGTTTGTATCCAAGGGCTTGGGTCTCTAAGCACATTCCCTGCGTGCAGGACATCAGGAAAAACCCCTGGATTTGCCCAGGGAATGTGGCAGCTGCTCCTGCGCCGGGCAGTGTCCCCATGCTCCCGTCCCTGGAGGTGTCCTTGTCCCTCTGGCTCTCCCTGGGGCTGTCCCCGGGCTCTGGGGTGGCCTCCTGGCCATGTCCTGGTGCCACACGGGCGCGGTTTGGTGGCCCCAGGGCTACAGGTAGGTGGTGGCCTCGCGGCTCTGGCGCTCGCGGGCCTGCGCCACGGCCACGTTGAGGCACTGCAGCCACTCCTCGGCGTTCTTCTCGTCCTTGGCCTTCAACACGTAGGTCCTGCTGTCCGTGAAGATCTCGAAGGCCCGGGGCAGGCTCCGGTCCCGCCGCTTCTTGGCCACCACTTTGACGCTCTGCACCTTGCTCAGCTCGATGGGGCTCTCGTCAGGGTCGTCCTTCTGCAACACAGGCACAGAGCAGGGTCACCTGTGAGGAGCCACCACCCACCTCACAAACAGCTGAGGGCTCCTGGCAGTGTCCCAGGCCAGCCTGGACAGGGCTTGGAGCAGCCTGGGACAGAGGAAGGTGTCCCTGCCATGGCAGGGGTGGTGCTGGATGAGCTTTGAGGTCCCCAAACCCCTCTGGGGTTCTGTGAACTCCTCCTTCTTTGTGGAGATGTTCCCAAGTGTCACCAGCTGCTGTGCCTGGAAGTGTCCATGGCCACGGGGCTTGGAGAGGCCTGGGACAGAGGAAGGTGTCCCTGCCGTGGCAGGGGGATGGAATGAGGTGGTTTTTATGCCTTGTGAAAACTGGGGACCCAGCAGTGACAGCTCCTGGGCTGCCCTTGCTGTCCCTTGCCTTGCACTGGGTGGGTGCAGAGCTCCCACGGGCACAGCTGAGGGGTGAGAGGCTCTGGGGTGGAGCTGGGCAGCGGGGAAAGGAGCTGGTGCTCCGTGACTCACGGATTTGCCCCTGCGGAACAGCAGCTGGTTGCCAGCCAGGGTGAAGTAACGCGTTTTCCACCTCTTGATGAACTTCCAGCGGACCTGCTTCTCCTTCAGCTTGCCCTCCATCAGGGGCTGCCCGTCCTGGTTCACACCTGGGGAGGGGAGCACACAGCCAGGGTCAGTCCTGCCCTCCCTTCTCCCCACCCTGGGGCTCATGCTGTGCTGCAGGAGGGTTGCTCTGCCAGCACTCAGCCCTCACTTCACACAGCTCAGCCCTCAGTCCTGCTGGGGAGGCTGAGCAGATGGAGCTGACAGCTCAGACCCCTCTTCCAGCTCTTTTCCTGCTCCCTCAGCCATCCCAAACCTCTCCCCACCACCACCTCTCCCAGCTGCTCCTCAGCCCTGCAATAACCATTTCTGGCCTTGGGCACTGCCAGGGATCCAGGGGCAGCCTCAGCTTCTCTGGGCCCCCTGTGCCAGGGCCTGCCCACCCTGCCAGGGTGGAATTCCTTCCCAGTATCCCAGCTAGCCCTGCTCTCTGGCAGTTTAAATCCCTGGTATCTCTGAGGGGTCTCTTTCTCCTTTCTCTCCTATCTCCACATCGGTGGCCGGGACACCAGACAGACCAGAGGGCAGTGAGGGGCACAGGCAGTCTGAGAAGGGATGTTTCTGGATGGGATCTTTGCCTTGGAGCCCATCCCACATCTGTCAGAAGGGCAGTGCTCCCTGGCTGGCCTTCCTCCCATCCCTCAGCCCCCAGGTCCACCCAGCACCTCCTTCCTTCCTTCCCTCTGTGCCACTGGTGGCTCCTGAGGATGGAGCTGAGCAGGGTGCCCAAGCCCCCCCAAGGGAGTGCCAAAGGCTTTATGGCTTTTTGGGCACCCACCCCCTGTCTGGAAGAGGCCAAACCAGCGCCAAGACAAGGCATCAGCTGGAGATGAACGATGTGTCCTTCCCCCAGCGCTGTTTTCCTTGGCAGCGGGGCTGGCGGGGGGTGCAGCATGGACTCGTGCAATTTCCTCAGGAAAGACCGTAAATATTTCTGTCTCTGCAGCTTGGGAGCACTTGGAAGGAGATGGATGAATGAAAAGGGGGTTGGCAAAGCCTCAGTGCCGGGAGGGGGGAGCTGCAGCTGTGGTTTCCACCGCAGGAGCGGGCCGTGCTCTGCTCCACGCAGCCTCTGCAGCCCTGACTCCACAACTTCCCTGGATTTTTTTTGTGCCAGCACCGACCTCAGCACCCGGCCTGGCGTGGGACACAGTAAAGCAGAGGGTTTCTCTCTCCCTGTGGAAATGTCACCACTGCAAAAGGGGGTGAATTCCCCAGGAGGCTGGCTTGGGGCTGCACCCTCTCCCCACACACTCTTCAGCGGGACAGAACCACGTTTTAGCGTCCCCTTAGTGAAAACTTGCCAATTTTGTTAAATATTGTTCCCTGCCTGGCTCCTGGTTCTACAGGAACCTCTTCAATCCCGTTCCAGAGCAGCAGGAACATGCTTCAACCAAACTGAGAGGGGTGAAGCACAAAAGGCCCAGGGACCAGAGGATCCCGAGACAGTTTGTGGTCAGCAGCACAACGTGAGAAGGGAAGCGAATGTGCAATTTTGGCCTAAAGTGAATTTTTATGGCCAAAATCTTTCAAACCCAGCATTTGCTAAGAAATGTTGATCTCTTTTTAAGGAGCCAGTGGCTTCAGGCAATGCTTCCAGAGGACTTGTGCTGTGTATCCACAAAGCAGCCCGGGGGGAGTTCTGATGGCAGCTTCCAAAGCGGCCCTAATGAATCCGATGCCAGCGTGTCTGAGGGGCTGATTAGGAGAGAGAGATTCATGCAAGATAAGAATAAAGCTCTTTTCCAATATTTTTCTAAGTCCTTCTGCTTATTTTCCTTGCGGTTGACTTCACAGAATCTCAGAATAACTCAGCTGGAAGAGAGCTGGTGGGGTCTCTCCTCCAACCTCCTGCTCCAAGCAAGGTCACCCACGGGGTCAGACTGGGCTGCTCATGGATTTATCCACGTGGGACTTGAAAAGCCTCCACAACATCTCTGGGCAAAGCTGTTCCAGTGCTTGATCTCCTCGTGGTGGGAAAGCTTTCACTCACAGGGAACAATTCCTGTCCAATATCTCATCTGAATCTCTCCTCTTTCAGTTTGAAAAGGTCATGAAATATCCAAAGGTCTTGAAATACCTATTTTTCCTTCAATCATCTTAATATAGACATACTGACTCCAACTGAACCCCGAGTAGTTCCCGCTGATGTGTCTCTTGGAATTTTCTATTTTCCATCTTGCTTTCTTTGCAGAGCTACAACACATCCAGCTCTAAGTAGTTTGGGTACTGAATAAAAAGTTAAAACCCCTCCAAACTCTTCCAAGATGAACTTGAGACAGATAAAAACCCAAAGCTTTAAATCTTGAATTTGATGAAACATAAAATCCTCCACAAGAATTCATGAATGATCTCAGTGATAATAAACCCCTATGAACTTGAAAGAATGGAATGTGTGGCAGATAAATGCAATTAACCTCGGGGAATATGGAATCACTCTCTTCCATCAATCACCACATTGGGTTTTGCTGAAAACCTGGAGAGAACACATCGCTGGATGCCACTTTTTATGATTTTCCAGTGAGCATTAGAGCTGGGCTCCTTCATTTCTCTGGATAGCTGGCACTGCAGGAGAGGGATAAATGTATTCCCAAGCTGATGTGAGAATTCCCAGGGAATTGCTGTTTTCTAGAGGAATTCTCAAACACCCTCAGCTCTCCCCAAATCCCAAATCCTTGCCCAGGGCTCCTCTGCAGCCCCCAGGGATCCCTGCCATGTCTTTGTGAGCTTCCAGAGGCAGGGCTGAGCTGGAATTCCCTCGCCGGCTCTCCGGCGGTTTTGCGGAATGTTTTGTGCAAGAGCTGGAGAAGCCAAACTCCCAGTCCAGGGGGTTGTGCTGGAATGAGGCTCCCAACAGCCAGTCTGTGCTAACAGGAGGAACCCTGACGTTCTCCAGCGTTCCCAGAGGCTGGTGGCTGGGTTGGAGCACAGGATGTGTGAGCTGCTGTTCCTGAGCCCACGGCACATCCGTGCTGCGGGCAGACGAGCAGGGTTTGTGGGAAGAGCCAATCCAGGATGATTTAACAGCACCTCTGGAAAAGTGTGGTTGTACAAGACATGCTTTGGAAGCAGAGGAATGCATGGGAAAGAGTCAAACTTACTCTAATTGTCACTGTGGGTGCATCAACCACTTTGCTTCAGCTTAACTGGTTCTTCCCACACAGGAGCAGCTTCCAGAGCCCAAATCCCTCCCAGCTCCAGCCAAACAGGAATCACTGATCACAGAAACATGGAATGGTTTGGGCTGAGAAGGATCTTAAATATCATCTCATCCCACCCCTGCCATGGGCAAGGACATTTTCCATCATCCTAAGGTGCTCCAAGCCCCATCCAGCCTGGCCTTGGGCACTTCCAGGGATCCAGGGCAGCCACAGCTTCTCTGGGAATTCCATCCCGAGGCAAGGCCAGGGCTTTAAGGCAGAGCTTGCCCAAGTCTGGAGGATAAATGGCATCTTGCAACAGGCATCCAAAAAATGCAACAAAACCCCTCCTGAACCAAACCCAGCAGACAATAATAGAAAAAAAATTGCCTCTGAATTCCTTCTTCAACAGGAATTGGGTTGCTAAACAGCATTGCTGAGAGGAAGAAATTGCTTTCTTGCCTCTCAAAAGTATTTCTGATTTCAAAGGGTCTTTCCCACTCTGGAATGAAAATAAGAGATGTTTCAGAACCTTTAAATACCTTACCAAACCAAGGAGACCTCCAAATCTTTACTTGTGTCAGCTCTTAGGAGCCCAGAGAGACCCTGCAGGGTCTCCCACTCTGCCACCACCCTTCCCAGCTGCCACAGCTCTGCAGCACCAGTGCCAAGGTGGAATCCTCACTCCCTGCAAATTTTCACTCCACTGAGCTCCTTTCCTCAGCTTTCACATGACCCATTCAAGGAATTTGTTTTCTAAAGGCCTTTGGAGCTCAGGAGCAAATCATGATACTCACAATGAGCCTTTCTTGAAAAATTCTTTTAAACTGAGACAAAGAGAGCAATTGCTCGTGAAAAGGACAATTACAGCCAGGAGAGCAGCAGTGAGGCAAGGCTGGACTGGTTAAATGTCTTTGGAAATTCAGACCAAAGTTATTTCATTAAGCTTTGACATTTTAAGCAAGAGGCTCGTTTTCCTCATGGCTCAACATCCCTGATGTGCTGGGGAAACCACACTGAGAGCACTGTGGAGATGAAGTTTTAACTCAGGGCAGGATTTCTTTCCTGGTCCTGGAGTCCCATGGGAGCTGGGGAAGGAGAAGATGCTCAAACACCCACAGAATGAGCAGGGACAGCCTGGCCTGCAGCAGCAGCTGGGTCACTCCTGCAAGACTTCCTAAATTTGGGGTAGATGCACTCTGAAGAGACAATAAGTGTTAAAATAAATCTCTGAAACAGCCAATAATTCAAACTCTTGGCCAAAATAGTCAAAATTCTTGGCCAGAATTGGTCAGACTTTTATGGAGTGGCAGAAAGCATCTGAGAACAAGACATTCCTCTGCCTGTCAGGGCTCTGATCTGATGGGGGCCAGAAAGCTTCAAAAGCAGGGCACCAGGAGATTATACCTGGGAAAAAGGCTGTTTCTTCCTATTTTCCACTCACCCTCTTTTCCAGTACACCTGAATTATTATTCCTTTATAAGACTTAATCACCACATCCCTAAGGAGATGTGCAGTAAATGACATTAAAGCAGATAATTCTGAGGGTGAGGGAAGCAGGAGCCAGGTGTTGTTCCTGTGCCAACATGGAACCTGTCAACCCCTGACTTGTGGCACCTGGGTGGGCTCCAGAGGACCTGGGACGTGGCCCAGGAGATGCAATCCTTTATCTGGACACTGTGGGATGGCTGCAGAGCCCTCCCACCCCCCAGGGGTGCAGATTTGGGGTTGTGTCCCTCTAAGCACACACCAAATCAGCTTTGGGCCTGATTCCCCCACCTGAGAGGAGTTTAATGGAGAATTCCAATTAAAACAGGCCCTGGAAAGTTTGGTTTCCCCTTTCCCCACCATGACCATGCCCAGCATGACCAGTGAGTGACCAGTCCCTGCCCTCAGCCCAGCAGGGACAGGGGCAGGACCCCTCTGTACCTGTTGCCTTCTCGGGGTTGTTGCACATGAAGCACTGCCAGGCTCCTGCCTCCTCGCTGTAGCCGAATAAATCAAAGAACCTCACTTCCTCCAGGTGCATCTGAACGTTCTCCAGGTCCTGGGGTGGCAGGAGAGAAACCAGGCTCAGGGGGTGAGGAGGCACTGCAGGGATCCCCACGTCCAGAGGGACTCAGTCCCTGCACAGGGACGAGGGGCCAGGGCAATTATATATCCACAAATTATGGATCAGGCTGTGGGAGGCTGGCCATGGCCTGGGATTTGTTTTTCCTCTTCCAGCAGCCAGGCCTGGCCTGTTTTCTAGCAGCTGAACCACCTCAGAACGTGAGTGTGATGAGGACAGGCTGAGGGAGCTGGGAAAGGGGCTCAGCCTGGAGAAAAGGAAGAGGAATTCCTGGCTCTGCACAACTCCCTAAAGGGTCAGGCTCTTCCTCCGAGTAATAAATGATAGGACAAGGGGAAATGGCTCCAGGTTGTGCCAGGGGATGTTCAGATTGGATACTGGGAAAATTTCTTTATGGAAAAGCCTGCCCAGGGCAGTGGAGGAGTCACAGGAGGGAGTTAAAACCCTGTGGATGTGGCACCTGGGGACATGGGTCAGTGCTGGGGAATGGTTGGACTCAGTGGTCTGAGAGGGCTTTTCCAACCTAAATGATGAGGGTTTTTTCCATGGCTTCATCACCCCCTGGTGATATTCCAAGCTGGTATCATTCCATGGTTTATCACCTTCTCAGGGGTGTTCCAGTCCCCAGAGGGGCTCTGCTGACACTGCTGGGCACTCCCTGGCAGGAGGGATGAGCCAGGGCAGTGGCACTGGGCATCCACAAACACTTGGCTTGCTCAAGGGAGCAGCCAGAGCATTCCTGAGCACGGGAAAAGGCAGAGGATCCTCGCTGGGAGCTGATCAGTGCCACTGCATTATCCAGCCTGTTTCAAACTCAGCTGTGATCTCACACTTGAACAAACGCTGGGCTCAGGTAACAGCAGCCAGGTCCCTCCCTGCCAGCCCCGAGGCCACTGCAGCCCCCCAGACCCTCCCAGGTGTCGGTGTGGGGTCTCAGAGCTGCAGCACCATCCTGCAGCCCAAGGAAAACACGGATTTATGCACTGGGGGGGAACCCTGTCCCCTGCCAGGGCTCTCAGCCCATCCCAGCACACAGGGCTGGGAGGGGATGCAGAATTCCAGCCTTTCCAGACAAGCTGGAGTGAAGGAGAGGGAGCAGAGCACGGTCAGTGGCTCGTGCTGTGACTCCTTGGGGGACACAAGAAGGGCAAACAGGGGCACTGCAGCCCATGGACATTACAGGACACAGGGATGAGGCAGCACACAGAACCCAGAAGAAATCCCCATCCCATGAAGAAATCTGGTGGTGGCTGCCACGAGGCAACTCCAGCCTGAAAGAGAGCAAATCCCACTGAAACATCAGTGCAGAAATCTGCCTGTCCCACTCTGCACTCCATGCTTGAAATAATCTGCAAGGAGACATTTATTTCAGGAGGGAAAAGCCTAATTGGAGAGGAGAGATTTATCTCATCCCCTTGCTCCATCACCCTGAAAACCTCAGCGAGCCAACGTGGCCCTTCCTTCTGCCACATGAACCGAAAGGAAAGGGGAGAACAGAGCGACCCACGGCTTAAAAATGTGAATTCTCCTCTTGCAAGGCTGAGCAACAAAGGAAGCTCTGAGGGCATCACATGGGGCTCGTAAAGCAGTCACCATCTCGGTGCTGCCACGGCAGGAGGCACCACAGAGGAGCCAGGACAGCTCAGCCCAGCTCCCCCTGTGCTGGGCACAAACCTTTGCTAAGGAGCCCTGGAGAACCCCAGGAAATGTGGGAGGATGCACATCTGGAAGTGCTTTGCTCCTGGCACATCTCGAGCTGTGCTGGATGAATAAATAAATGAATGTTTTCTGTGGCATGAGGAGGCTGCCCAGGGAAACACAGCGTGCTCTGTGTGAGCCAGGTACTCCCTGCAGCTCAGGGATCGCCACGGTGCTGCACATCTGAAGAGATTGCTCAGAATTCAGTCTGGAGGGAAGCACTGATGTCATACATTACTCTCCAGGTTTGAAAAATGCTTTAGAATTCAGATTGGAAAAAAATTTATCACCTTCCACTATGCCAGGCTGCTCCAAGCCCATCCAGCCTGGCCTTGGGCACTGCCAGGGATCCAGGGACAGCCCCAGCTGCTCTGGGCACCTGTGCCAGGCCCTGCCCACCCTGCCAGCCAGGAATTCCTGCCCAATATCCCATCCCACCCTGATAAAGCATTTCAGACTCTGCTAGAACACAATGCATAAAACTTAGTCTCAAATATAGCTGACAGTGTCGATGCTGCACTCACATCAACGCATTTCAAGCCCTTGATAATTCAAAGTGCTGTGCTTGATGAAGCAATCACAGAATTTTGCTCAGAATTTTGCTCAGAACATCAGAATTTTGCTTCCTGGACTACTGGCAGAGGAATAACATTAACAAATACAGTAATTTTGCCCAATAATTCACAATCTCAGGAAGTCCTGTTAGCAATGGGAAGAACTTCTGAGATGACAAATTCCCATTATGACAGAAGCAAGGGGAGGTCATGCAGGGAATGTTCCAGGCAGATTTTTTGCAGGCTGTGTGTGCCTGGTGCCCCCCATCCAGCTCTGCCCCAAGCTCTTTATTCCCCCAAACTCTTCACACTGCACCAGCTCTGACTGTGGGTGAGTGAAGCTTGGCAGGGGCTCAAGTTAAGCCCATGCTGAGCAGCAAAGCTGCTCTAAAGCCTCTGGATGAGCCAGGCCTGGATTCAGGAGCAGCTCAAACTCCTCTGTGTGCAACTAAAACTGGTCCCAAAGCTGCTCTCAGATGTCTCCCCACTTCTTCACCACATTATCCTGGGAGTTCAGAAGGTGTTCCTAACAAAACTCTGGTTTTAAATCAGCCATAACTTTGGTAATTTAATCTTATTCCACCAGGCATCTTCATGCCCACAGTATTCTGAGAGAGAGTGTTTTAAAATCATGTTTGACAACTCATTTCATCCAACTGAGCTGGATGGAGATGCTCAGGGATAAATAGATATTTGTTTTCCAATCCTACAGTGGCCTTTTCCAAGCAGCTGATTAATAGCTTGGAAAGAGCATCCACAGGAATCCTGGAGACAGAAAAGAGCTTTGGGCTGTAATCCCTTCAGCCGATGGGGGTAACTAATGGCACATGTGCAGACAAGCAATTAAATCCATAAAATCCAGGGCTGTGTTTAACTGGGTGAACTTCCAAAGGCTCTGCCCAACCCCACAGCAGCAGCTAAGCTGAGCCTAGAGCTCAGCAGGAAAAGCCCCACGTGCAGCACCCTTGGTTCTCATGACATGGCTCAGTTCATGTGGAGGGGTGGAGAACCAGCCTGGGGAGCTTCCAGAGCCACAGCACAAAACAGCTCTGAGGGCCCTCTGCAGAGCAAAGGCTCACTGGGGTTAGTGCAGAGGTTCCAAAACGTGGGGCCAAGTCCTTCTGCTCTTTTCCCTTGTGAGGAAAGCAGCCCCTTACCTTCTGGTGTGGGAACGTGGAGTGGATCATGGCAGTCTCAAAGCTGTGCATCCCCTTGAGCTGTGTCTTCTCCCACAGGGCCTTCAGGACTTGCACAGAGCTGCTCTGTATGGACAAAGGTTCTGCAAACAGGCTCTGAAGAAAACATTGAAAATGATTTCAGGTGTTTTCTCACTTGGCTGCTCCCAAAGAGCATCTTGTGGTCACAGGGGGACAGCCAGGAGAGTAAGCAGGGCTCAGCCCAGCTCTCCCTGGGGGGTTCTGATGGATCAATGGGCTCCCAGTTGGATCCAGCATCAAATATCTCAGTGCCTTTGGGGTTTCTGAAGTTCACTGCACATGCCAAGTCTCTGAGCTGTGTGGCTCACTGAGGATTACCTGCAATGACCCCTACACAGTGGTTCTGCACTGAAATGTGAATTTATCATCACTACACAGTGGTTCTGCACTGAAATGTGAATTTGTCACCAGTACACAGTGGTTCTGCACTGAAATGTGAATTTGTCACCAGGCAGCAGCACTGGCCCCTGTGAAGCACACAGAGACCTGGGTGAGGTGCATCCCCCTGGGAAAAGCTGGCATTTCCAGCCAGAGGGAGGAGATGCTTCCCAGTCCTGCAGGGCTCTGTGTGTGTGTTTGGAGCTCCCTCAGGCCTTGAGCAGCAAGAGCAGAGTTTGTGAGTGCCCTGAACAGAGAGCAGGGTGAAACACAGCAGGGAAAACTCCCCAGGACATTCTCAACACAGAGCACGGGAGTTTCCAGCACCTGGGCACTCACAGGACAGGGTGACACCTTGCTGGGGTGGGTGCTGTCACCTCCAGAGCTCCCTGAGCCAAAGCACAGTGAGGATCCACCTTTCCACCTCCGTGAATGATCCTGGAATTCCAACAGCACCAAGTTCTCTGTTGCATCCTGCTCACCAAGCCAGTGGTACACCGTGGCTGAGAGAACATTTGTGCCCCTCCTGTATCTCCCCCATGATATTTTAATTAAAGAATTCATTTCCATGCAGGAGCCAAGATAAGAGAGCACAAACAAATCTGATTTTCCATACTGCAACTACTGGATTTCACAATATGGGCAATGTCCTTCATATGTGGGATTTCTGGATGGACTTTCTGTCTCCTCTTTCTGAGCAAACTCATCCAGCCTAATCCTGCTCTCCTGCACTAATAATTTCCCAATTTCTATCCAGCCTAATCCTGCTGTCCTGCACTAATAATTTCCCAATTTCTATCCAGGAATTTTGAAACACAGTAGAACTCTCCATTAATATTTTTTTAAAATCAACTGACCAGTGTTCTTGAAAAGTATTTATTTCTAGGAAAGCACACAGGGCAGAGCAATTCAGGCTGTTCCATGCACAGCCTCCTCACTGTGTTACATTTTGGATAAATCCTGGGTGTTCCCAAGGCTGCCTTAGGACAGGATGAAGTGCAGTGAAAGGCTCTGTGTGTGTTAATAAACTGAACATTGTCTTTTAACTCAAACCCCACCTGTTTCACCTTCAAGTGTGAATGTAGGGGTCTCTCTTAGTTTCACACTATTTGTGACCTGTTAGGAAATTCCACACGTGTCCAGATACTGGGCTGTGCTTGGAAACAATATTAAACACAGGAAAATTGCTGGAAGGGTGTAGAACAGCACTGAGCAGGTTTACAAATTCTGCTCAATCCAAACCTCTGCAGTAAAACCCCCAGTGGGTTCTGGCCCTCCAACCTCCTCCTGCAGCCTTGGGGTTGGTGCTGCTCCCCTAAAATCCACTGCCACCTCCTGGCACCTGGGACTTGCTGGAAGTTTTACCTGAATAAGAACAATATGGTTTGATCCCACTTTTTTTTATCCCCAGACTTTGTAATTTCCCCAGCCAGTTTGAATTGGGGTATTTAACAAAAACATAAAATCTTGCAAAATACAAAATAACTTCAGCCCAGTCCACCGAGTTTGTGAGGGATCACAAGGGTCACAAATGTCTGTGAGCTGGAGGGGCATTTAATGGGTTTAACCACGGAACATTCTTGTCCCAGTGAGCAGCCCAGGGGTGGCCCTGCTTTGTGTGGCCCTCACCTGCTGGAACAGGAACATGATGTGGATCCAGAGTGGAGGCTGCTGGCTCACCAGGGTGAAGCTGGATTTGCTGTACAGGCAGTAGTGGCCCTTCAGGGGACAGCTGAAGAACAGCTTTGCCACACAACTCCCACCAGTGTCTGCAAGGAAATCCATGGAATGTGAAAATCACTGAGAAAGAAAACTCAGTGCCCATGCTGGGCTGCCAGAGCCACGTGGGAAAACATTCCACTCAGGATTTGGGACACTCCTGCAGCCAGCAGGGCACTGATGTGTCTGCACCCTTAAAAAAGGAAAGAAATTCAATATTCAGTGCTTCAAATCTCACCCAGTAACCCTTTACTGCCAAGTGCAGGAGGGGCAGCACGGCCCAGCCAGGCTGTTCGTAGTCTTTGTGTTTTCTCATGCCTTTGGGATCACCAGATCCATCAAAACTGTCTATCCCTTATCCTTATTTAAAAAGTTTGTTGGAAAACCCCTGCCCCATGAGGCCCCAGCCACGTGGGGCTGACACTTGTGGGATCCCTGCTGAGGTGATGCTTTTAACTGGAAATGGAGCCCTTGAGATGCTTTTGCTAAATATTATAGATCATGGAATGGATTGGTTTGGGAAGATCTTAAAACCCACCCAGCCTCACCCTGCCATGGCAGGGACACTTCCACTGTCCCAGGAGCTCCAAAGCCCAATGTTCAGCCTGGCCTTGGGCACTGCCAGCGATCCAGAGACAGCCCCAGCTGCTCTGGGCACCTGTGACAGGCACTGCCCACCCTGCCAGCCAGGAATTCCATCCCAAAATCCCATCCATCCCTGCCCTCTGTCCATGTGAAGTCGTTTCCTCAGCAAACCCAAGTAGCTTTGTCAAAGGATGATTAAATGGTTTCCCCTTGCCAGCTTCTGGAGGTTTTGCTCCCAGCCTCAGAGCCATCTGGCCTCCCTGTAGCATTTCTGGCAGATTCCAGCATCCCACTTTTAACATTTTCTGCATTTTCAGTGACAATCTGACCACTGACACTTTGTTCTGGCAACGCATTCTTTTGTACCTCTGGTAAAGTCATTCCTCACGTGTCACACTTTTACATGAAATGCTGAGTTCATTACATTTCCCTCCTATGCATTCACAATAATCTTGATTAGATGGAAAATGTTCAAACCCAGCATTCCAAGGCTGTTTGTTGCTGGACACACAGGCTGCCTCTGCCCTCAGCCTCTCCTTGTCAGGAGACTCAGAAACCGTCTCCGCTTAGTCACGTTTTCTCAAAAGTCACAACTCATTTTTCCAGTTAGGAGATTTTCTTTGAGCATTTTATTCCTTCCCCCTTCTCCCCACGGTGACTCACCAGGACAGCAAGAGTCTGAGTCACATCCCTGCAAGGCTGGCCCGTGAACAACACACGCCAGAAGGGAAAAATGGGGCAGAAATCCACTTCTCTGGGATTAATGGCATAAAATCCACACACTTGGGTTAGTGGCTATGGGGAAAACTTGAGTTTAATTACCCAAACCTACCGGTTCTTACCCAAACCTGCTCACACTGTAAGAGAGGAGTTTGGGAAGCCAGAGGGATTAATGAGAGCCATCCTGAATCCTGGGGCACATGAAAGCACACAATGACATTTCCAAGGAGGCTGTTGACAGATGCTCTTCCGAACTGCAGACCCCTCACTGATGCTAAAAAAACCTTCACTCATGCACTCAAGCAGAAATGGGGGCTTGGCCTTGGGCCATGTGTGTGAAAGTTGATGTTTCAAGATGGGAAATGACTCTTCACTAAAAATGACCCTAAAGCACTGTGAAGAGGACCCATGTTTGCTGTGTGCACCTTTCAGCAGCTTGCCGTGAGCTGCCAGGTTCCATCTACAGCAGGGAATGGCATTCCAGTGTCAGCAGAATCATGAAATCATGGAATAGTTTGGGTTGGAAGGGATCTTAAATCCCATCTCATCCCAGCCCTGCTATGGCAAGGACACCTTCCACTGTCCCAGGCTGCTCCAAGCTCCGTCCAGCCTGGCCTTGGGCACTGCCAGGGATCCAGGAGCTGCTCCAGCTGCTCTGGGAATTCCATCCCAGCCCCTCCCCACCCTCCCAGCCAGGAATTCCTTCCCAATATCCCATCTGACCCTGCCCTCTGACACTTTAAGACATTTTCTCCTGTCCTTTCGTTGTCTGCTGAGTTCTCCTCCTTCCTCAGCCCGGCCTGGCTCGGCAGGAGAGTCCAAGCACCACAAGAAAAGGATTTTAAAACATGAGAAGATGTGAAGAGCACCACAAGACACAAACCCACCCCACACAGTCACCAAATGCCCCAGAAGATTGATCAAGACCCCAAGGAAACGTTCCTCCAGCCAAGGAATATTCCTCAGCCCAGCTCTGGGCCAGTCTCTGCCTTCCCAAGGGAATATCAACAACTCCTTTCTCCTACAGGAAACAAGGGAATTTATGTTGCAATTTTAAAGTTCACAACTGAGTGGTTGTGCCTGGAGAAAAGGAACAAAATATAACCAGAAGAATGTCAGTAGAGCTGTTAATTGTTACCTATTCCAGCTTCACATGCTGGGCTGAACCAGGAGGGTACAGAGTCACTGGCTCTGGGAGCAATTAATGTGTTATTTGATTTACACTGGTAATCCTTTCCTCTTAAATGAAATCTGTTAATAGGAGTAAAAGTATGCTCATAAATTTCCTAAATAGAATCAAACCCACGCATAAACATGGAACCAATAAGAAATGGATGCAACTTTTTAAATTTGGGGTTTAAGCTTTTTCAGCTTCCTCAGTTTCCTTTGCCTGACCTCTTCAGTTCGGGTTACAAAAAGTATGCAAACAATAAATGCGTTTATAGGAGGAGAGGGCAATTTTTAAAGCAAGCAGCTTCGAGAAATGCTGCTTTATATTGTTCTTAGCAGTACTAACTTTGTGTGCAGGGCATGACTCTGAGGCAAGGTTTCCTCTCCTGTGAGTTCCACCAGCACCAAGGGAGAAGGCAGGGCTGTGGTGGGGGTGGGCACCAACAAGGAGCACCCAGGAGACTCCACACCCACTCCAGAAGCTCAGAAGTCATAAAATCATCACAGAATCACAGACTGGGTTGGAAGGGCCTTAAAGCTCATCCTGTTCTACCCCACTTCCTTCCCCCAGACCAGGTTGCTCCCAAGTGCTCTGGTTGATGCCACCACCCACAGGAGTGTCCCAGCTGCCAGGTGATGCCCACCAGGAGAGCAGCCTGCTTCCAGGGCTGCTCCCAGGGCAGCTGAGAGGCTCCCAGGGTGTCTGAGGATTCCCAACACTCTGCCTGCAGCCCTGGGAATTTCTCCACAGTGCGACGACGCGGATCGCCAGGAGCTCGGTGGCCATCCTGAGCAGTGACACTGCCATCCCTGGTGCCTCCCTCAGCTCTGGGATGCATTGGGAATGCCAATCCTGCCACCTGCAATGCCAATCCTGCCGGCTGGAATGCCAATCCTGCCAGCTGCAATGCCAATCCTGCCAGCTGGAATGCCAATCCTGCCAGCTGGAATGCCAATCCTGCTGGCTGGAATGCCAATCCTGCTGGCTGCAATGCCAATCCTGCCAGCTGCAATGCCAATCCTGTCCTGCCAGCTGCAATGCCAATCCTGCCAGCTGCAATGCCAATCCTGCCAGCTGGAATGCCAATCCTGCCAGCCAGCTGCAATGCCAATCCTGCCGGCTGCAATGCCAATCCTGCCGGCTGCAATGCCAATCCTGCCAGCTGCAATGCCAATCCTGCCGGCTGCAATGCCAATCCTGCCAGCTGCAATGCCAATCCTGCCGGCTGCAATGCCAATCCTGCCGGCTGCAATGCCAATCCTGCCACCTGCAATGCCAATCCTGCCAGCTGCAATGCCAATCCTGCCAGCTGCAATGCCAATCCTGCCGGCTGCAATGCCAATCCTGCCGGCTGCAATGCCAGCTCAGGTTTGCTGGGAGCCAGCAGAGCGGTGCTGCTCCCTGGGAATGCTCTCCTGAGCCTCCCCAGCTCCATGATCCCACAGAAGGACCCGAGGCCCATCTGTTCCCAATCAGGGTCTGGCTGATGGAATGCTGGAATTTATCAGGCCGGAGCAGGGGTGAGCACTGCAGGGGAGCAATGAGCTTTTCCATCCAGGCTGTCATCTGGTCCCCATTACCCCTCAGAACCACATAAAACATAATAACAACCACATTGGGGGCCAGCACGCTGCAACCTGCTCCGCCTGCCGCCTCCTCCCCTGCCAGGAATCCCCTGGAATGTTTGCTGGATGCATCTCCTCCTGCATGGCACTGCTGGAAAATGGTTCTCATGGTTTTCCTTGGATGTCACTGGCTGTGGCCTCAGTGAGCGAGGGGGAGATGATTCCCTGGTCTCCCAGGGCTCTGTCCTTTCCAAAGGAGGAGATAGCAAATCCTTCAGCATCCTCGACACACAGATATTGTCAAATGCTTTCTTTCCAGCAGCTCACTCAATGTACAAAGCTCTGAGCTCTGGGCATCAATGGTGCCTTTTTTAATCCAAATTACCTAAAATTACTGAGCAGAACTACAGCAGAAAACATTTGTTATTACCAAATCCAGCAGCTGTGCAGGCTCCTGATGGGAATCATCTGCACCCAGCCACTCCCAAAGGCAGGATACCCATGGGCATGGGTCTGGCAGGTGTGGGATACCAGGAGAGCACATCAGAAATCCTGCAGGAAACAGAGGCTGTGCCAGGAGAAACTGGACTCAATCCCAGCTGGATGATGATGTGTCTGTCCCCAAACCAGCAGGTCAGGACACCAACAGCCAAGGGATCACCCCAGAACCTGCCCTGCTTTGGGGTGGAAGGGCCTGGGCAGCTGCCACCAGCAACATCCTGGAGGTACCAGGAGAATACAGGATCCCAACCCATCCCAAAAAATACGGGCTGAGGAAAACTCTGCTGAGCTCTGTGAAATCCAAAGAGCCTGACAAATATGGTGGCTTGTTGTGTTCCTCTTCTTTTGAGGAAAAGATCTCCAGGATTAAGAGGCTTTAAGTGATGGACATGAGGTAAAAAAAACACCTCAGATTGCTTCAGGTACGTCAGAGATGTGGGTCAAGGCACAAGGCTTCAAACTAAGCAGGAACTGAACCAATAAATGGATTTTTGTGGGTTTGGGTTCTTTCTTTCTCAAATCCCCTCTCTGACTGCAGTGTTTTTCCAAAAGAATTCCCTTATGCACATGAGTCTGGTGTTGCAGCTTGTCTGCTCTGTGAAACACCCCTGGCTTAGCCCTTTTCTTTGGGATAAAACCTTCTGGCCAGCAGCCCAGTGCTAACACTGCTCCTGCTGTAGGATCATCACCCAATTCACAGCTCTCCTCTGCCCAAGGCACAGCCAGCCAAAAATAGTAAATATTCAACAACAGGGCTGACATGGCAATTTTTCAAGGTTTCTATGAGGCATCTTCAAAATGTCACAGACAGTTCATGGATCCACCCTGACACTTCTTAACCTGCAGCCCTTCCCAGCTGTAAAATCTGACACTCCAGTTAATATTGCATCCATTTGGACATGGAATATAAATTGAATGAGCTTAGAAGTCAACAAGGAGCCTGCAAATCACACCCTGTAAAGCAAAAATACTCCGTGAGGGGTAAGACCTACACAGCAAACATCTGACTCAAGAGCAAAAAAGCCAATTTACAACTCACAGACAATTTAACAAAGCAGAGGTGCCTATTTTGTGTGTTTTGAACTCGCCTCTGACAGCTTCATTGCGTCTTCTCCAGCACCTGGATCAGGGCAGACACTCAGCTAATCCTCCCAGTCACTCGAGATATTGCAAATCTCTTTTCCAGGCTGCAGAGTCCATTTATTTCCACATGGAGGTCTCGAATTTTCCTCACACTCCTGCAGCCACTCTTATCCTTTATCCTTCAAACCGAGGCTCTAATTAATGCAGGCAATCCCAGAATGGGTTGGGTTGGGAGGGACCTTGGAGCCCCTCCAGCTCCTGGGCAGGGACACCTTCCCCTGTGACCTTAGTGCCCAGATCTGAGGGGTTCTACAGGGAAATTGGGATATTCCCAAGGTTCTGTCCTCAGCAGCACATCCCCTTTTGGAGCAGCCCCCAGTCTGGGCTTAAGCAATGAGGAATTCACCCCATTTCCAGAGAGGCTGCCTCAGGTCAGACCCCACTGCCAGCAGAAACACAAGCAGGGGTGGAATTCTGGTTAAGAGAGCAGAATTTGGCCCATCACCCCTTCTAAGGGGAAATTCTTCTAAGTGCCATTAACACCCTGCTGACCCCCCAGAGCTGCCACCTGAAATCCCAGGAAAGGCCTGAGCAAGGAAAGGAAAGTTTGGGAACACATTTTGCTGCTATTTCCTTCAAATACTCTCTGTCATGAGGGGTTGCTCTGGAGTTCTTATCTTTTCATATCTTCCATGTCTTACATATTAAATTTCCAGTTCAAGACTCCCACACAGCCCACATAAAATCAGCCAGTTATGTTTATTCATGTTTTCTAATCTTGTGTTTTCTGCTAAACACGTTGGTGAAATGTAAAACACGCCTTTGAGTGGGCCCTGTTAGAGTTTGGGATCTCTCAAGTGCAATAACTGCAGGTTTTTGGAGAGGTTTATCCAATACCTGGAATATTAACAGAGCTGTCCCCTGTGGAATGAGCTGGGCTGCATTTCTTCAACTGATTTAGAATGAGTCTCATAAATCTCTGCTCTGCACACGTGTCCCTGCTCAAGGAATTTCCATAGGAATGCTAGTTGAGGATTTTCAGGAAATTACAATAGTTTGAATGAATTTAGAAATAGTCACATGCCTAGGATGTATCATAAGAGGTATTGCAGAAAGGAAGCTGAGCAATACATTAAAAAATATTCAATATATGGGATTTCATTAATGCAGGGTCAGAGCTCTCAGCACTTCAAAAGCCACGTTGTTCACTCTCATGTTTTCACTGGAATTTTATAGAACACAAGTTTTATCCTTAATTCTACCAAATAACTATTTCAACTGCTAAACCTGGAATTTAAGGTATTTAGGAAATAATTCAGAAGCATAAGCTTTTGAAATATATAGAGAGAAAGAGTTCTATCTCTGTTTTGAGTGGAAGCTGCTTTTCCACTTCTTGACCACTGAGAAAGGAAAGAAACAAATCTTTTATCAACTTCAGTTGAGGCTGTTGGAGCTGAAGTGACTCTGTATTAAAAGGTGGTGTTTGAAGTGACTGAAAATGTAATTGATTAAATTAAATTACATTGAATTGATTGATGCAGTTGCTCTTTGGGATGAACGTGGCCCATGGAAAGGCTGGGCTGTGAACGGCTCATGGCCACCAATGAGGGGTTGGATGCACCCAAATTCACCTCAGAGGGAATAAGCAGGAGATTCCCAACCCAACCCAGCCCAACCCAACCCAGCCCAACCCAACCCAACCCAACCCAACCCAACCCAACCNGGAGTTTTGTGGTTGGAATGTGCTGCCCTGAGGGTCCTGGCCTTTGTTGTCCCAATCCAGCTGATTTAATAACTTGATAACGAGGAAGGAGCCCCAGGTCTGCCCCAAACCAGCCCAGCAGGAGCCTCCTGGATCAGCATTCCCATGGCACGTGGGCTGTCCAGCACACAGCCATCCCTGATGTCTAACCCAGCTCCACAGCTCCAGCCTGCAGCTGGGAATGTCCCCTTCCTGCCCTCAGGTTCACTGCCCATGACATCCAAAAGGAAATCTTCACTTGAGCCTCCACAGGAGTCTGGGAAAGGCAAAGAAGTGCTGTGTCCCTGAGGGAAATGAATCCTGGGAGGTTTCAAAAGATTCCATTTGGGAAGGACGTTGTTTTCTGAAGCTGCTGTTCCTCCCTGCCTGTGCTGGAGGGTCTTTGCTGCCCCTTGCCTGGGCCCTGAGGGGAGGCCTGGGGGGTGTGGAAGCTCCGGGGAAGGCTCATCCCGCTTACCTTCGATCACACACTGCTCAGGGATGGGAATCCTCCTCCCCATCTCCATCACATATTCTTTTACTTTGCCCAGGTTTTCCTTCAGGTGCAGGTACAGCTTGTCCTGGTACTCCACAGGGCCCGTGGCTGCCCTTCCCTCCAGGGCCTTCTCCGGGGTCAGCTCTGGCAGATCGGCTGCCTGGGGGCAATCAGCACTTGGGTGTGAAACCAGGGGGTTCCCCACGTGCACTGCCTCGGGGTGGACCCCAAAAGGCACTTGCTCGTGCTCCTGGCTGAGGTAGATCTCAGAGAAGGAGATGCCAGCAGGGATGTCCCCGTTCTCCTCGTCCGGCCCTCCCTCCGAGCTCAGCCCCTTCATCCTGAGAGCATGCAGGGCCAGGCTCTTGGACCTGTGGGGGAACAAGCGAGGAAGGAAGGGGAAAAGGGCTTGGAATAGAGGCAGGACACAAAAATCCCTCCAAAGCTGTGCTCTGTGCCCAGTGTGGGGCTCACTGAGCCAGGGGCAAGAACCTTCTGCCAAACCTGCATTTCAAAAGCCAAGCTCAAGCCACAGCTTTAATAAGCAAATGAAATGAAATAATATCCAAATGATATCCACATATCCCAACATCTGCCATGGGGGGAGGGAGGCAGCCCCTCTGCAAGGATCTTATAACCCCGGGGGTGGTGTGGCTGCTTTACCAATCACATCATAAAAATGCCAACCAGCAGCAGTTCACTGAACCCCAACCCAGCCTCCAGCTCCTCCTGCCCTGGATCCCTGATGGGATGGAGAGGAGAAAAGAGGGCAGAAGTGGCTGAAAGGGCAAATCCTGGAGCAGGAAGAGCAGGGCTTTTTGTGGAGCTGTGGGGCAGGGACAGCCTGAGGACCGTGAGGGTCACGTTGCTGTTATTGATAAATATTGTTGGTGATAACACCCCAGGAAATCTTCCTTTCTGTGCTACCTCAATGCAGTTATTTTCCTGCCCTTTTTGCTGCTTTAGGGCACAGAACAGATTAAATGGGTTCTTCCCCAGAGCAGCTGTGGCTGCCCCTGGATCCCTGGCAGTGCCCAAGGCCAGGCTGGATGTTGGGGTTGGGACAGTGGGAGGTGTCCCTGCCATGGCTGGGGGTAAAATGAGATGGGATTTAAGGTCCCTTCTGACCCAAACCATTCTGTGATTCTGGGATTTAGAAGGATTTCATCCAGCCCTTAAGTTCACGGATGCAAAAATCAGTTAAAATTAGGTTTATGCTGCTTGTGGGTATTTCACGAGCAGATCAAACCCTCCATGTCTGGATAAAGTTTTATGACAAAACTGATCTCCCTGAACCCCACACACATTTGCCAGAGCCATACCTGTTAAACCTCATATCCTTCCTTTCTTCTTTAGAGACCTGGCCCAGGCTGTATCTCCTCACTGAGCCAGGGGTGCTGTTATCCACATTTATTTTCTCTTCAAAAGCTTGGATTTTAACTTGCAGCTTTTCATCTTCTTCATTGCCATTCACGACAGATTTTAAATCATCCAGTGGGACAGGACATTCTGCCTCAGGGTCATTTTCCATCCTGAGGAAGCAGAAAGCAGAGGTTTAACCCTGGCACGTTGTGCTCTTTGTGCTGATGCTGTGTCTCTGCCTGGGACTTGTGGTTTGGATCTGGTAAAATAATTATGTTTAAACAGATACTCCCTGAGGTTATTTTCAGGAACATCTTCTAGATCCACATCTCTGATGGATCAGAAACATTGAACATCTCTGATAAACCTGGATTAGAAAATGCCAAGCACCAGCAAATCACAACTCTGTCCCTGCTAGTCATTTTTTTTCATCTGAACCCAAACCATTCTCTCAAAATTCCTAAACACTGACTTATTGCATTATTTTCACGAGGCAAAAGTCAAGCTATTTGCAGACTTTATAGGATTCTGTGGTTTTAAAGCTTTTACCAAAGTACATGCAGTTCTTACTGAATTATTGCACTCTGAGAAAAAAAACCCAACCTTTTAAAACTCAGGAAAAGTTCTGAGCCATGTGACTCCAGCTCAGCAAAGAGAAAATGAAGAGTTAAAATGAACTTGTGGGACTGCAGGGCGAGTAGTTTTGTTTTGAATTTGTTATGTTTGTCTTAAAATCACAGAATCAGAGAACCAGTGGTTTGGGTAGGAAGGGACCTTAAATCCCCTCCAGTGCCACCCCTGCCATGGTAGGGACACCTTCCACTGCCCCAGGCTGCTCCCAGCCCAAAGTCCAGCCTTGGACACTTGCAGGGATGGGCAGCCACAATATGTAACATTTTAATGCAAAATTCAAAGGGAACTTTCATATAAATTGAAGGGAAGCTGTTGATCTTACAGGACAAAAAGAAATCTGAAGGTAAAGACACTGTTGGTAAAAATGTGCTGGGTTCCCTCAAAGAGCTTTGAAAATGGCTTTTTCTGGGTTCCTTCATCACTCAGAGCCTGCAGAGAGAGACTCAGCTCTGAATATTTGGTCATTTTCTGGAAATCTGGACTTTGAGTATCTTCACTGTTCCTTGCAGATGCTGCAGCAGGGCTGGGTTCCCCAGGGACCAACAGCGAGAGCATCGTTGCTCCTTCCCCTCTCCCTCTCCTGCTGGGCTGATGTGCACGTTCCCATCTCACTCCTGCACACAGGGAGGAACTGGCACCCAAAATCACCCAAAATCACAAAGCAAACAGCAATCTCCTGGAGAATCAAGGGGGATCGGACAGTGTTTACTTTTTAAACTCTAACCACAGCTCTAAAACAGGTTTGTTATGCCTCTGGCTATTTCTTTGTTTAATTTTCTTTTTTCCCCCCCGATGAACAAACATCTGAATAGCTAAATCTGTTAAACATGGATTTATAAAACCACAAAAAAGGGGTTTAACACAGCCCTTCCAAAGCAGCAGAGGCTCACAAGTCACGCTCACAGTGGGGGAGCCCATTAAAAACTCTCCAAACTGCAAATTAGCAATTGTAAAAAGCCAGGTTTTTAAAAAACAACCAGAAATGTGGCATCACAAAATGCACTTTTTCACTTGTTTTGATAAAGGCAGCTCAGGATATTTCTCAGGGGAGCTGGCAAGTTTTGTCTTGCTTTGTTTTTAATTTAAGCAAGATCTCATAATATATTAACACTGAGGAGCACTTGAAAAATATTCTTCTGTAATAAAGACCCTTGATGTGACCTTTCCTAACAAATCTTTCTGGGGGTGTAGGACAAGATTTAATTTATTGGAAAGCAGTCACTCCAGCACAGCTCCCAACACTGCTCCCATTGTGGGAGCTGAGCTCGAAGGAAAACTTCTGTTCCCTGTGTAAATACGGGCAAAACCTCAGGACACAGAGAGGGGATTGATGGACTGATGGGCTTTGGGAGTGACAGACCCCAACCAGGGAGCCTTGGTGATGTTTGGAATTAAAAATGGTGTTTCAAACAGCACCTCTTTGTCCAGCATCCTCCTGCTGAGCTCCCATGGCTTTGTGAAGGGAATGCAAGGAAATATTTATCTGAAGGAATTGTAAAATCGTTATGATTGGAAAAGGAATGTGGATGAATCCTGTTTTCCATAAATAGAGCAGAAAAAAGTCACTGCCAGGGTGTGGAGGGTGGGCTCCTCAAGCCACCATCTCAGTTTTGCCCCGTTGCTGCCAGGATTTCCAAGTGGGAAGCAGAGGAGCAGTGCCCAGGAGCTCTCCTGAGCACCAGCCTTGTGCTCACATCAGCTCCTTGGGGAGCCAAAAGCACAAACCTGCCCCCAAAACTCCCAGCAGGGCTCCACCCCACCCCACTGGGATGCCTGGCAGCCCTCCCAGCTCCTCTCAAACCCACCACTGTTTGCAGCCTTGGCAAGAGGCACTGGGGCATTGCTGAGGCTGCTAGAGCAGGATCAGTTTGCCCCAAAGCTCTTGGCAGGAGGAGGGGGAGGAGGATGCACGAGCTCATGGAGAAACCATAACTCCAAAAATAGTGCCAGGCTGCTGATGGCTTCATGCTGTTAAATCCTCTGGAGAAATGCACCTTGGTGCCCAGGTGATGCTTTAGCATAAAGAACATTTCCCCAGAGCAGCAGCACCATTGTCATGCTACCAGTGGGGTGCTCACGGTGGGAACAAGAGCATCCCAAAGGGAAATGAATGAAAATCCTCCCGGGATTGTGGCCAGGGTTCACCTCTCTGCCTCAAGGATGGATCAGGTGCTCGTGGTTTGTTAAGGGAGAGAAAATCACCTCCTCAAATAGGATGGACAGGAAAGTTTGAAGAAGGCAAGTGGTGGAGGAAAGATCATGGAATTGTCAGCAGAATCCCAGACTGGTTTGGGTTGGAGGGACCTTAAATCTCATCCCCTTCCACCGTGCCATGGCAGGGACACCTTCCCCTGTCCCAGGCTGCTCCAAACCCTGTCCAGCCTGGCCTTGGGCACTGCCAGGGATCCAGGGGCAGCCACAGCTGCTCTGGGTACCCTGTGCCAGGCCCTGCCCACCCTCTGAGTCAAGAACTTCCTGATATTTAACCTAAATCTCTCCTCTCCCCGTGTAAAACAATTCCAAGCAGCCACAAGGGCTGGGAGGAGCAGCACTGGTGCAGCCTCTTACGCTTGGTTCTTACCCAGAACGAGGACTTTGAAGCTTGCTTTCCCTTTAATTGACTACACTGCCCCTCTAGGTTGGATAAGTCCATTAAAACCCTGTATATGTTCTTTAAAAGCCCCTCTGGGACTGAATAACTTGAAATTTTGGGACAGTAAGGAGCAGCAGAGCATGGCCTGGTTTTAATTATGCTCCCAGTCCCTGCATGTAAAATTCCCTGTGTCAAACAACACCAGGCCAGCCATGGCTCTGCAGAAATCAGCTTCTCCTTACGTAAACACAGGAGTTTTGGAAGGAATGGTTATAATCCAGGCACAGAGTTTAAAATCCTGGGTTCCTTTCACTCTGGATTGCTGCTCTTTAGCTCAGTGACTGCAGCAGCTCCAGAGCTGGGAGGGCACTTTCACATTCACATCTGGACTGGTCCTGCTTCCCAAGCACGAGTCAAAATCAGCTCTGCTTAAATCAGCAGAGAATTCTCATTCAGCCTTGTCTGACTTAACTGAAATGTAAAAGCAAATAGCTAAAATGCTACAGAATAGCTAAAAACTATGAAAAACCAGCTTTTTTTTTTTTTGATTTAGTGATCTCTCACAGCCATGTTAAGATAACAAGGGCACAGAGGGTTGGGGACAGAATGAAATATAAAATAAAGACAGAAATAAATAAAATGAAGGAATTTAGAGAGAAAATAATCTGTAACCACACTCACACAGACAATGAAGCTTCTACTCTTCAGGCAGTCCTTAACAAAAAGAATTTTAGTGAGAAACAGCCAGATTTTGATGAAAACCTTGTTTTTAAATGGTTTTTTTTTTAGCAGCTCTAGAGAGAAATGTTAATCACAGAATATAACAAGGAATATTTAACAAATAAAGTAAACAGAGGGACCACGATGGGTTGTGAATGCTGAGGGCTGGTTTCTGCTCAGGTTCTGCCATCAGGTGAAGCTTGGACATTTCTCACTTGTGGTGAGATGAGGGGCTCTGTCTGGATTCCCGTCCTTTTTCATTTGCACCTCTCTCCAGGACACCAATTTTCTGTTTCTCCACTGACCTCAGTGTTTTGTCTCCACCACTCCCAGTCTGGCTCCAGGGCTGGCCTTCACCGTTAGGACTTTTCTGACATCTGTGTTCCATTTTTTTAAAGAATCACTACTCCTCTGTGCCCCCCTGACCCACTGCAGCACACACAACTCTAATTATGAATCTCCCACTAATTAGAAGTGACTGCCACCCTGTATTTAAATAACATTTCTATCCTCACCGTGATGAACATCACAACACTTTAAACCTTAAGATGCACAGGCAGAAGCAGCTGAGTGAGCAGAACATCTCACTCTGGACAAATCTTCACCAGGGAGCTACGCCAGCCATTGTTCTCATCACCCTCAGTGGGCATTTTCTAGAATAAATGATAATTGTGAGGCCCAACTTCACTAATTTATTTTTAAACGAGGAGTTTTAGCTTGCTCAACTCTATTTATCCAGGGCAAGGCTTTCTTCACTCAACGGGAGCAGGTTTAAGGGGGATTTTGGTGCCTGCCAGAGCCCTGGAGAGGGCTGAGGTTTGTGAGAGTGCCAGTACCTGTCTGCTGCCGTGCTGTCGGTGTGGAGCTGCCGCAGGAGCAGCCTGGCGATGGCAGAGAAGCTGTTGCTCATGCGATAAATGTCCCTGCTCTGGGCGCCCAGGATGCTGGAGAAGGTGTCGGTGAGGCTCTTGATCTCCAGCAGCAGGATGTGGTGAAAGGAGTGCTCCATGCTGGCCAGCTGGTTCACCAGATACAGCAGGGACGTTCTGGCTCGCTCCTGGGCAGAGGGGAGATAAGAACAGTGCTGAACACAAGGATTCGTTGTTTGCTGCTCTGAGGGGTTTGTGTGCTGGGACTGGGGTGCTGTCCCCGGGGAAGAGTGGCTGCCCACGATGGCAGAGGCAGCTGCCTCAAACACAGTTTGTTTGTGGTTACACTGAAGTGACTTTTGTTCCTGCTGTGTTACCTAACCCAGGATGTCTTGTCTCCTCCTCAGACCTAGAGCCAGATCTCTGAAGGCTCTTTCAGGGCCCTACGTGGTTCTGGGTCCATGTAGGATCCGGGCCCCAGAAGCACCAAGCTCCTCTTTCACCTCCGATGGGCCTGGCTCAGCTACTTCATAAAACCAGAGAATGTTTTGGAAGGGACCTTAGAGACCACCCAGTCCCACCCCTGCCATGGGCAGGGACACCTTCCACAAGTTACTCCAAGCCCCACCAACACCTCCAGGAATCCAGGGGAACATCCAGCCTGGATTTGAACATCTCCAGATTAGGGCTCCTCTCTTACAGTTGTCCTGATTAGATTGGGTTCCACAGTCCTAAAAACACCCAACTGGGAAAAGCAGTGGAAAAACCAGAAATTAACTCAGGAACTCCCATCAGATCCTTCACTGGAGGAATCCTTTTCCTCAGGGAAGCCCACTTGGTCCCCAGCAGATTGACAGAGAAAATGGGAGAAGTTTGGATTTCAGCCTGTGCTGAAACACAAACAAAGACAAAACCAAAGAGTTTTCTTCCTCCCGAGGGCCAGCAGGGAGCTCATGTGCCACGCACGTGGCTCTGGACCCTGCAGGGCCCCAGCCCCATCTCCTCCTCTCTTCTGGGACCTCGTAACCAGAGAGCAAAATCTGCTGAAAGTTTGATTCCAAATCCAGCTGGGCTATAAAAATACCCGGGAGGCTTTGGCAGGACGTGGCCTGAGCATCGCTTTTTTTTGAAGAGCAAGTCAACGTAATGCAAGGAAAAGCAGCTCTGCTGCATCGTGCCATGACAGAGATAAATGGGAAAATTGGATCAGACAAATTGCATCCCTTCAGCCATATGGGGGAAAACTCCAGCTGCACCCTGGGCTGGGCTGATGTGACGAAGGAGATTTTTCCTCAATGGCTTGAGCGGGGTTGACTTTTTGGTGCGCAGTCACTCATTTATTTGAAAGCTGATCCTTCCTCCAAGAGATAAACAGGGGCTCAATTAACATTTAAAACACATTTTTGTTTTCTAAACAAACTGCAGCAGACTAAATGGAGGAGCAGTTTTGACCATTTTCCTGTCACTTTGATCCAGCTGGAGAGTCTCCAGCCATGCTGAAATGCTGCTACTCGCCTGGAGTGAGGTAAAAGAACAATAAACTCGCCTGAGTAATATAATATGTAACAGTTATACAAAACAAAATTAAAGCAAAATAGCTCAGGATGAAAGCAGCCGTTATCCCTGCCACAACTCTTATCCAAAATGTTTCACAAAGCCTATTTGGATGCACATAACCCCTTGTTATTCCAGCAATGCCTGTTTGATGTATTCGTGTATTTTCTCATGAGCAGCCCTTACATTTTATGGCATTACATCTGCCAGAAGGTGAAGAGCTAAAGCACAGGCGATGAGGTGTGGCAAAGTGTTGTTCTTCTTTCTTAAAAACAGGTTCAGGAGACTGCGAAAAGATCACAAGGCTTTCAGAAATAACTCCAACTCCCAGGTGGTTCAAAACATAGGGGAGAAAAATAAAGTGTCCGATCGCCCTGAGCCCCGAGATGCTTTTTCATTTGCACAAATTTACGGTTAAGGGACAAGTTCTGATTTCAGCTTTCCCCCCGAGAGTGTCGCTGACACCAACAGAAGTGGTGTGTGTAAACAAGGGGCAACCTTTCAAATCCAGAGCTCTCCTCTCTCCCGGGGTCCCTGGAAGCACAAGAGGCTTTTTCTAGGAGCCAGCAAGGATTTGCTGCTCAGATCCACAGTCTCGACCGTCAAGGGCCAAGCCTCAATCCTTGCCACCTCTTTTCCCCAGGCAAGCCTTCCAGTGAAATAAAACATAAACAAATAAAATTCCAGCACTGCCATTGATGTCTCCTTGTTTTGCTTGGCCGGGCAGGGGAGGCCAGTTGTTGTCTGAGAAGTGGCAGGATATCCATGGCATTGCTCCGTGACAGGACAGGGAAGAGCAGGAGAAGGGATGAGGGAGGGTTTTGGGAAGGCCCTGACACGGGGGGCTGTGAGATGAGACTGTCAGAGGCACACGTGGGCTGATGGTTGGACTCAATGGTCCTGGAGGTCTTTTCCAGCCTGGGAGATTTGGATTCCACGATCTCACCTCTGCTCAGGAATCAGGAGGCATTTCCTTCTCCTTTTAGGCGAGGTGGTTTTCAGTAAGACCAGCTTGGACAGGGTTTGGAGCAACCTGGGGTAGTGGAAGTGTCCCTGCCCACAACAGGGGAATGGGTTAAGGTCCCTTCCAACCCAAACCACTCTGCCATTCTAAAATCTTCCACTATTCAGAATTATTCACATTTCCAAACATTTTAGAGAGCGAAACAAGAGAGGAGCTGTTGATCTCCTGGAGGAACATTCACCTCCACCACCCTTGGTGTGTTGTTTTCATCCCTGTTTTGGAGTTCAGGGTCCCTGGATGTCAGTGACAAACAGCAAACAAAGGACAAAAGTGTCCTCCCCGTGGGCTGGGATGCTGCTGAGTCAGCAGCTTCCTAAAAAATCAGACTCATGACACGGGACATGGTGAGAGCTACTCAACACTTACTCCAGGGAGAATTATGATTCAGACATTAATTATTCAGTGCAGGCTGTGTGTGCTCCACTCAGTGGATTGGTGCAGCCACATAAACCAACAGGTCAAAAATATGAGGGGAAAATATTCTTTGAATCACGTCCTTGTAAACTTTACTCTAGCGTGTAATTTCCAGCACTACGTGAAATCCAACAGGGCCAGTTGGTTCCTTGCTTATTCTTGGTTTGGTATAAAACAATCACAGCAACAAAAGGCAAAATAAACAAATTCAGCCCCTTTGAAGTAGCAGAACTCAGCGGAAACGGAGCCTCAGAGACACCCAGATGGGGAGAGCTGGTTCAACACCCCAAAACGCAGAATCCAAATGAAATCCTTCAGTTCTGAGCCCAGCTGTGCTCAGCTGAGGATTGGCTGGTTAGCAACTGTAACGTTTCTAGAAAATGCTGACTTTCAAATACTAAATACAGCATTAAATGTGATCACCTGCAGATCTTATAAAAGTAAAACTTGCTGGGGGATGGAAGTAAACAAGGAGAGAACAACAAACTTCATTTGGCTCCCAGGCCTCAATGGGATTTTGGCTCCTCTTTCCACACAACAGAAATAAGATTTACAAAGCCAAACCAAATCTGGTTTTGATTCTTCAGAGATAAATTTAATTTTACATGAATATAAAGCTCCAGATCAGTAGAAAGAGCGAGGATGGAGTCCTCCTGTGCTGCTCAGACACACAAGGCCCAGCCAATACACACCCAAATTAATTGCCAAAGGGGGAAGGACTGGAATAAAATCCTCTTTAAGGTCCCTCCCAACCCAAACCACTCCATGATTCCATGGCAGGGCAGTCTGGTTACTCAAGAAGACACAAATATATGGATGCATTACTTTCTATAAAATTAAAACCAACCCAAGCAAGTCCTTTTCCTCACCTCATCGAGATGTCCAACAGCTCCAAAGATCTTTGCTGTCTGCCCAATCAAACTGGGAAAACTCTCACCAATTTCCCTCAGCGTGGGAAGGAAAGGGGCCAAGGCTGCAGGTTCGTAGCTGGATATTTCCAGAAGGATGTTTAGAATCACCTCGCTGTGGTTGGGGTCCCTCAGGTGTCCAAATAAAAACGGCAAACACTCCTTCAGCACCTGTTAAAAAACCAGAAACAAACTGGAGCTCTGTTTTGAATTGTGAACACATATAACCAGAGGAGATACAACCACCAGAGTGATAAAAATGAGCCACCAGATTCTGAGCTAATAGAAGAGTTTTCCACCCTTGGTGACCTTTGCATGGAGCTATTGCTGAGGTCAACCCAAGTTCAACTGAACATATGGGATAAGGGTAAACTCTGCTTTAAAATATGGCAGCTATGCATAAATAAGTAAGGAAATACCCAATTTTTTTTTAAAAAAAAGACAAAAAAAATGCCTTTATCAAATATTTTCCTTGCTCCAGGCCAGTCTATATTTTATTGATCAAAACAACATAAAGACTCAGCCTTCCTCAGTGATGCAGTGAATTAAAGTACTCGTAGAAATTTTTGGGTTCCACAGAAACTGAACAATGTGACAAGGTCAGGAGCTGGAAGAGAGGGAAAAACGGGAGGCAAGACCCTCACTGCATAATAAATGTGGTGTGGGTAAGATGTTATTTCTTGTTAGAGCCCAGTTTTCAGGAGACTGAGGGTGTAGCCCTTGGAACCATCTGCAAACAGGATGCAATTGTGTACAAGTCCCCACTGAGGGATTAATTCAGGGTAAACAGACACACTAATGCACCTTGGATTCAGGGAAACTGCTGCATCTGTGGAAAAGACATCCAGACACAGACACAGGGCATAAACCAACCCCTTCCTCTGTTCTTTTTTTTAAGGATTATCAGTTCTCATCAGTTCCTAAATCATGCTAATTGTCCTTGACGTGGATTTTAATACAGTTCATGTACACTGACAGGAGCACAGTCATGGGGATTCACACCCAGCTGACAGAGGAAGAGCCAAAAACATTGGAGACAAATGGTTTAACCCAAGCCTTTTGGTCCAGCAGAGTCTTTGCTCTGTTCTCCCTATGACTAGGTGGAGAATGGACTGGAATGAAAGAATTTACAGGGAACTAGCACAGGGAAGCACTGTGGGATTCCTCCCTCAGCGAGCCCTCAAAAGGAGGAGCAGGGAGATGTTCCTGGTGTGGTTTACCCCCAGTTCTCTCTTCCTGGCCACGGTGTGCAGGAGCCTGAGGAGGTGGAGCTGCTCAGATGGGTCCAGCTGGGCCAGGGGTGCCACCAGCTCCCGCAGGCGGGCGCGGATCGGCTGCGGCCGCTTCTCGTAGAGCGCGGGCAGCACCCGCAGCAGCATCGAGTTCCCTGGGGACACAGCAGGGACAGGGAGCAGCTGTCAGCCAGTGCCCAGCGCTGGGGACAGCCCCACAGCACCAGCACGCTCCTGGAGACACCAGTGCAACAATCACGGGACTGCTTGGCTGGGAGAGATGTTAAAGCTCATCTCATTCCACCAAGTTGCTCCGAGCTGGCCTTGAAGGATCATTAGTACAAAACCAGGCAGGCATAAAACTGTAGAAAATTATATATTGGGCCAAGAAAGCAAGTAAATTATCAAAAGAGAGCAAACCATTGCAGGCGTAACGACAAAAACCCAATTAATTCCTGTTAATTATCATTTTATTTCTGATTATCATGAGAACACTGCTTAATGAGCTTTCAGTTTTGGATGGTGCTCTGTTGAGTCCTAGGCCAAACTAAGTGTGATTTCAATTAACAAAGAAACAAAAAGAAGAAAGAAGGAGAGAAATGACAACGAAACAACAAAACCAACGAAAGACAAAAACTACAATTCTCCTTTGCCGAGGTTCAGATTTTCAAATTAAATAAGCATCATATGGAAGGAATAGTTGGTTAACAGAGAACTAAACATGCATTCAAACAGAAATAGTAAAGGATGCCATTTCCAGGAATAGAAAGGAGCCAGAGAGAGCCAGCTGCAGACAGACAGAGATATATGCTAAACCCTCTCTCACACGTTTTTTTAAGATGTCTGTGCATAATTCAATTTGAAGCGCAGGCTCATACCAAAATATATAACTTCACATCGCAGTACATGCCTGCCTCAATGGATTTAAGTTTCACTTGAACAACATATGGAAAACATCTGCCTATTGCAACCTAGTATGGCTCCTTTTTGTAAACCCTTGGAAGTCCTCACGGCCTCTTTGGGTTTGGTTTCCAAGAGGAATCAGCTCTCTGGCCTGCTGCTCTCCCTCCCGTTTACATCTGAGCCGGATGGCTTGGGAAGATAAGCAGATCTGTTCATGGATGGTAGGAAAAGGATATTTGGGTTCAGGCTGGAGCACATGGGGCTCTTGCCAGGTACAGAAATGCACCCCAGGACACGACTGGGTCTCACAACCTCCCCCCGAGGCAGGAAACGAGCCCAGCTCTGAGCCCAGCAGCTCGTAATCATCCCTGAGGGTCCTGATCCTTCACGGGAGGGGCTCTCCACTGCAGCCAGCCACACTTCTGCACCTTATCCTGCTTGGACAATCCCTGGCTGCTTCCCGAAGGCTGCTCCAAGCCCCCCATGCAGCCCCGGCAGTGCCAAAGGCCAAGTCAGACCCCACTCCCACCCCACAGACACGGCAAGTTTGTCTTGTTCTGTTCCACACAATCACAAAGGCCAGGGACAGAGATTTGCTGATGAATCACCCTGAAAGGATGAGCAAACTTCTCCATTCTGGCCATTTCCTAACCACGTTCCCTGGGCTCTTCCTGATGCTCCCAGTGGATGTGGATAAAAAATGTCACCACTAATATTCCATGGCATCGATGCCAAGCACCAATTCCCCCAGAGGGAGAACCTGGAGATCAGGGAAAGGTTCTTCCCCCACAGGGTGGAATAAGCACTGGAAAAGCTCCCCAAGGCTTCCAGAGCTGCAGAAGGTTTTGGACAGCGCTCCCAGGGATGCCCAGGGTGGAACTGTTGGGGTGTCTGGGCAGGGCCAGGAGCTGGACTGGGGGATCCTTGGGGTTCCTTTCAAACTCAGGGTACTCAATGATAAAAAAGGTGAGAGGATGGATTCACTGGAACTTTTCTCACGTCATAGTTCGAAATTGAAACATTTTGTACTGAATACACCAAAAATTATTTTCTCTCTGGATGACATCATGCTTCCAGCACTAAGTCCTTTCTTTGCACTTGCCCTTGCTTAGTTTGCACTGGAATTTTTCTGCCCACATGGAGCAGAGCCCTTAAACTCCAGTCAAATTTCAGCAACGATTGCAAAAGATGAAATTCCCGTATTCCTGGACAGGCAAATTTCCTGTCAGCTCTAGAAGTGTGATGGGAAGGGATCCAAGAGGCAGTAACAAAAATAACGGCTTCAAGCAAGGAAAGACACCGACCTGAGCCATGCTGTTGCCTAAGTTGGGATGTCAGGGATAGGAAGGGATCTGGAAAGGAAGACTGATTATTTAGTCTGGCAAACGAGCGTTTGGAGCGTGGGGTGTATCAGAGGAGTGATGCAATCACAGATGATGGACTGCAGCCACCAAACCTCTCTGAACAAAAAATACTTTGTGCTAGCGCAGCTTTGGGCAGTTTCCTGCAGCAAACACTGCTGGGCTGATATTCCCTAACCAAGATAAATGAAAAGCAAAAGCAATCAGAGCAACCCCCTCCCTCTGCAGTGAGATTGAAGTGACCTCACTGACATGGAATTGCTTTTAAGTGAAGAACCTGTGTGCACACGTGTAAATAATCCCAGATATCCCAGTTTGGGTCTGTTCTTCAGGGACCTCAAGAAAGGTCAGCAGGCACAACCCAGTTGGCCATTTTCTGGTCTTTTCGTGTTTGAGCAAGGGATACTCAGAGTTGTTTGTCACACCTTTATGGGCTCTGAGGGGAGCACCCCAACCCCCTGATTCCCAAGGGTGATATTGGGAATTCTGAATAATTCACTTTTCCCCAGTCTTGCATCACCTGCCTCAATCTAAACTAAGAGCCTGAAAATGTTTGTTGAGTGAGAATGGAAAAAACACCCTACTCAACTCCCTAAATGCTTTCCTTCCCTCTTCCTTCCCTGCCACCCAATTCCTTCCAGATTAGATTTTCTCACCCTTCCCAAGCTGGGAATGACACAATTCCAGCACAAAGTGTCCCACAGCTGGGGACACTCCACGGCTGCACATGAGCCAGGGTGGGACCAGAGCCATGGTTGGGTGATGCCAGCCCTGCACCCATTCCTGGAAAAAGCTTTCCCGAGCTCCAGCTCTGCCCATGCCAGCAGCACAGAGAGCTGGGGAAGAACAGGGGCGCTGGAGCTCACTGCTGTGGCCCATGGAAGATGGGCTTCCACTCCAAAGGGAGTTTACAAAGAAAAAAGCCCAAGCACCAAGACTAATTCTTCCTCCAGGAGGGTTTGGCACATATCTACTTGAAAATCATGGAATCATCTTAGCTTGGAAAGGAGCTCTAGGGTCAGAGTCCAACCTGTGCCCGATCCCCACCTTGTCCCCACCACCCTCCCAGGGAGGAATTCCTCCCCAGTACCCAAGGCACATGTACTGCAGGGTGGTGTAAGCAAAACCAGAGACACAAAGGGAAAGGGAACACAGATTCCAAGATAGATGTAATTGCAGGAGGGTTTTTTTGCTGTTCTTTGGGTGTTTCATAGCCAATACATAATTTGTGTGAGATCACCCCTAATCTCACCTAAGCAAAGCATCTCTGTCAAGATTAATGGCCTGTTGAACCTATAAGATAACAGAATTTTAACCAGATTAATACCAATAAGACTTAGACTAAATTAATGTTTCATCCAAAAGCACTTTGGTTTGCTTTTTCAAAGGTAAAACACAACTCTGATTGTGCAGCTGCAGATTTACAGTTCCCAAACCTGGCTACAGCACTAACAGATCATCCAGGGAGTAATGGTGGTGTAAGTGCTAATTAGGGCTGGAAAAGCAGAACCCTGACAAGCTGTTAGAACTCCTTAAGAGCTCTCCTTTATTGCTTAAAGCAATAAACTGTTGGTACATAATAGAATTTATTATACAGCAGTGCCTAACTCTCCAAAAGCGCTGAACGGGACACGTGGATCCGAACCAACTCCGGCTATGTTTATTTTCCTACCAATCCCCTCCGGAGCCCTGGCACACACCGAGCACAAAGGCAGTTTGCAGGGAACGCTTTCTTTCCCACAAACGACACCAAGCAGCTGAGGCCGAGCGCTGCCCGTCCCTGGGGCGAGCCCGGCTCTCTCTCGGCCACTCAGAGCATCCCTGGGGCAGAGCCAGGGCTGGGATGGAGCCGCCCGCCCCTTCCCGGCCCGGCCAAAAGGCGCAGCAGCAGCGCTGCGCTGCCAGAGCCGCCCGGCTCATTCATTCGGGCTCCGCAGCTCCTCCCGCACCGAGGATCCCGGCTCTGGGCAGCCGCAGCTCCCGGGAGCAGCCGGGACAATGCCCCGAGCATTCCTGGCCCTGCTCACCCTGCTCTGCGCCTGCAGCGCTGCCGGCTCTGCCCTGGATGAAGAGGAAGACTACGAGCTCATGTACGTGAACCTGGATAATGAAATCGAAGGTCCGGCCCCTGCCGCTGAGGAGGGTGAGTAAATTCAAAGTGAATTTGGGTGAAGCTGCTGCCTAGCTCTTGTAAGAATTATTACTGCGACCACGATTTACCTTTTTCCCAGGGGAAAGCTCATGTAGATTATTATGGGAATAATAGCTCGGATGGGGTGTCCTGGACTGTGCTTTAGACTCTTTAATTCTCAGTTTTCCTGCAAAAAGCTGTTCCCAGCGGTTTAGGAACTCTAATCACAGCCCTGCTCTGTGCTCATACAGAGGGAAAGGCACTGGCCCCAGCAGGGCAGGGGTTGGACCAGACTGTCTGCAAGGTCCTTTCCAACCCAAACCAGTCTGTGAATCCACGATTCTCTGGCAGTCTGGAGGACACAAAGAGCACAGGGGCAGATTTTGCCCAACACTCCCGTTTCAAACTCGGTACCAAAGAACAGCAACATCTGTACCTTCCCTTCCAGCTGCTTCGTGTGACTGCCAGCGGGAGCACAGCAAGTGGGACAAGCTGTTCATCATGCTGGAGAACTCGCAGATGAAGGAGAACATGATGCTGCAGGCTCTGGATGAGCTGCCCAGGCTGGAGCTGCAGACCCTGAAGGCAGAGCTGAGCCAGCTCGCCACCACCCTGGCGGGCACCTTCGCCTCTGCCACCTCCCGTGTGGTGAGCCAGGTGGAGCAGGCGCTGGTGAGGAGCAGGGAGCAGGCTGAGGAAGGCAGGAGGCTGCAGGAGATGGAGCAAGGGAAGGTTCTGGAGCATGTCCTGCAGCTGAGCCACAACGTGTCCGTGCGGCTGGGCTGGCTGGAGAGCGCCTGGCGCAGCGGGGCCCAGCAGCGGCTGCAGCAAACAGCTCTGGAGCAGGACAAACCCGGGGCCAGCACAGGGGACAAGCTCATCCTCAGCTCCGTGTGGAAGGAGCTGCAGCAGACCCGGGCTGAGCTGAGGGTGTCACAGCAGTGGGCAGCTCAGCACCTGCTGCCAGCAGGTAAGGCCAGGGGGAGAGCTCTGGGGAGGGCACTCCCAACAGGGACCCCCAAACCCCTCCTGGGCACCTCCTTCTCCAACAACTCCAAACCCCAGGAGCAGCAGGACAGCTTTGAACAGGCTGTGAGAGAAGGGGGGAACCCCAGAAGTTGTGGGAAAAGAGGCAGTGAGATTTTTCAAATGTGGGATCAAAGAAAGGTTTCATCAAAGTCCTTGTGCAGGGCAGAGCCAGCCAGGATCCCACCTCCTCCAGGCTCTCCCAGATCAAAGCCATTGTCAGAGAGCAACAAATGTATTTTAGACATCCAGATTATGTTCTCTCACCTTTTGCCTTCCCAGCTGGTGGCTCCTATGCGTTTGCACAAATCATGGAGCTTTCTTGTTTTGCTGCATGCTCCCACTCCTTCCTCTTCCCACGTTAACATCTCTGAGATGTCATCTCCAGGAGCTGGATGTGCTGCTGCCAGCCAGCCAAGCACACTTCCAGGGCAGGGAGGGCACATTCCCTGTGGAACTATTGTGCCCTGAGTATTCCCACTGGCACAGAGAAATCACTAACCCGTGCTGCTGTTTGGGGGATTTTCCTCCTTCCAAAACATTTGCGCTGCTCAGTGAGGTGGCCACAGAAAGGTGGGCTCAGATCCTCAAATCCCAGCCCAGCTTTTTGGTGCAGTGACACCCCAAAAAGCAGCGGCTTGAGCATGGCAGAGCAGCCCCTCATCTGTCTGAGGTGTGGGTGCAGAATTAGTGAGTGTGATACAAAATGTGCTGAATTCACCTGTGAGCTGTCACTGCCCGGCTCTAACTGCTGCTTAGTGTCTCTGTTCTCCAAAAATACAAATTATTACAACTTAAACCTCCCCAAAATGTACCCCAGCAGGGTGGGTGTGTAGGAAGGAGGGGTGCAGCATCACCAGGGAGCAGAAGGGAGCAGTAATTGCCACAGCAAAGGCAACGACACAGCCACAACATCATTTCCATCAAAGCTTTTACAGCCTAACCCGAACCCATCCCCTCATGTGGGGCACACACTCAGCTTTAGAAGTAAATTGTTTTCACTGCTTTATCACAACATCTCAAATCTTGGTGTGCTGGGAGGAGATCTTTGAGCATATTCCTGTTTTTCCTCAAGCACAAACCTTGCAGAGATCTCATTCCTTATCTCTGTACCCCAGGCAGCCTCAGCAGCTGCCCTGCACTAGGTGAGAGCAACAAACTCGACCTGCATTGAGGATCATCAGTGGAAATTTATTTTCTTTCCACTGGTTCCCACATGGTTTTACACAAAACAACCATACTTGTAAATTTAAAGGCTACATTTTAAGTACTTCCAGAGTATCTCTCTGTTTTTGTTTGGTTTTTTGGTTTTTTTTTCTCCAAGGGAATTTTTAGCAACTGACTTTAATTTCTCACATCTTGACTCTACTGCCAGCCATACTCTTGAGGGATTTTCTAATCACACTTTTTTTTTGTTCTTCACTGAGGCTGGTTTTAATTTTGTTTAGGCTTTGATAATAGAGCCTGAAAGCCTGCTAATTAAAAGCTTTTTCACAATAGTGCTCCTAAGTAGCATTTTAAGGAGAATCCCCAGCAGTTGCTCACTGACCCTGCCCTTCCTCAAAAGGGTCAATGGGAGATGGAAAATCTGCTCAAAGCTGGAGGGAAGCAGCCCATGAAATCCTGCAGCAGCTCGGTCCTGGAGGGCACAAAGAGTCCTTCATTCCCCGGAGCAGAAATTTCCACACACGTTTTAGACATTTCAGATCCTCCAGCTTCTTTAAACAGGAAATGAAGCAGCTTAATTGGAGAAGGGGCTGCTTGTTCCCTCCTGTCACCTTGGATATTAACTTAGGTACAAGCAGGGAACAGCCCAGAAACCACCAGAAATGTCCTGGCTTTCCTGATCACCAGTTGCTTTCCCAAATTGTACAAGTTTCTGTGAGTGGTTTTAACTAATCTAATTTCTATTACCAACACTTTGATTAATTGGGCACGAGAGAAGAGCTGGTTTAAAAGTAACAGTTGTCTCATCATTTCCCCCGTTTAAGCTGTGCCCATGAAAGCTCCTGACCAAAAACTCCCAAAGGCAGGGCCAGCAAAGGGAGTCATGTAAATTAAAGAAGCAAGCCCATCTCAGCATGTTCCTGCCAACATTTTCTGCTTGCCCTGATGCCCCTTTATCCCTGGCACAGCCTCCCTCCATCCTGGGCACGGCACAGTGTCCCAGGCTGCTGTTTGAGGGGATCCCTGACCCCCTCCTCAGCACTCTTGGGATTTTCACCACTCCACACTTGGAGGATAAAAGAATAATTCAGTGGTTCTGAGGGAGGGTTACCCCATTACCTGGCAGAATTAGCCAATGTCAAGGGCTGAAATGGTCCCTCTCTTGCAGGAGGTGGTGCTCCATTCAGCCCAGCTTCCCAAAGGAAGCAGCAGGGCAGACAGGCTGCGTTAACCCTTCGGATCCCTTTGGATGTCACAGGACTGTACAGTGCCCCCTGTGCAGGCAGGGGAGAGCCAAGAGATTCCTGCAGCTGGGTTATCCTTTGCCACAGTGTCCAGCAATTCCTCCATCAGCTCTGACAGCTCCTTCAGATCATCCTGGGGTCAGTTCCTGCATCCCACTGGATGAGCTGAGCTCTCAGCTCCCTTTGGGAAGCCTGGAAGCAAGCACTGGGTCAGGCACTGGGTCAGGCTGCCCAGAGGAGAGATGGAGCCCCCATCCCTGCAAGTGCTCAAAAATGGGTGCATGAGGCACTTGAGGGCCTGCTTTAGAACACGGTGGTGCTGGGCTGGCACTTCACAGAATCACAGAATGGTTTGGGGTGAAGGGATCTTAAAAATCATCTTGTTGCAATCCCAACCTGCCATGGCAGGGACACCTTTCCCCATCCCAGGGTGCTCCAAGCCTCGTCCAGCCTGGCCTTGGGCACTGCCAGGGATGGGGCAGCCACATCTTGGTGATCACAGAGGTCTTTCCTGACCTTAATGATTCCATGCAGAGTCAAAGGTCCCGACTGCACACATACAAATAAACCAGTTCTTATTTACCTGACAATCTTCTAAACCTTTCCAGGCTGTGAAACCGCAATCCTCTTCCCCATGCGCTCCAGGAAGATCTTTGGGAGCGTGCACCCCACCTCTGGGATGACCCTGAGCTCCTTCACTGCCTGCATCTGGCTCAAGGTGACCGAGGCCTTGGACAAAACCATCGTCTTCTCCTACGGAACCAAGTTCAACCCGTACGAAATCCAGCTGTACCTGAGCCGGGACTCGGCCGTGCTCGCCGTGGGGGGTGCCCAGCACAAGTTAGCTGCCAGAAATGTGGTTATTCCAGGGAAGTGGCTCCACCTTTGTGGCACCTGGAGCTCAGAGAACGGATCTGCAGCTCTGTGGGCGCAGGGACAGCTGGCAGCCAGCGCCTGGGACGTGGCCGGAGCTCACACCATCCCCGACGGGGGCATCCTGCAGCTGGGGCAGGAGAAGAATGGCTGCTGCGTGGGAGGGGGCTTTGATGAAGCTCTGGCCTTCTCGGGGAAGCTGACTGGCTTTAACCTGTGGGACCGGGTGCTCAGCCCCGCCGAGGTGACGGCTCAGGCCGCGGGGGACGCCTGCGGCACCCGGGGCAACGTGGTGGGCTGGGGGGTGACGGAGGTGCTGCCCTACGGAGGAGCCCAGTACGTGTCCTAGAGCCCAGGCTCTGCCCAGGGAACGGATTTCACAGAGCTGAACATCAACATTACACCAGCCAGAGCTGCAGGAGACCCTGCCTCTGGAATCCCCATGGAACATCAGCGCTGCAAGTTCACAGAACGAGGTACTGTGGAGATGGGATTGAGCTCTGCTGCTGTCCTGGAAAAAGCCTGGAAACACATCCACACATCAGGGTGTGCCATTGGAAAAGCTGTTCCTGGGCTCAGGCAGCCCTGTCTCCCCAGGGCAGGGTTTTCTGATGTATAAAGGGGGGGTCACTGTGGACATGCAGCAGCCAAATCCCTGCTGAGGAAAATCTGACCTGGCTCTGCAAAACAGAGGAGCTGTGGCTGTTCCTGGATCCCTGGAAATGCCCCAGGCCAGGCTGGACAGGGCTGGGAGCAGCCTGGGACAGGGGGAGGTGTCCCTGCCATGGCAGGGGTAGCACTGGATGAGCTTTAAGGTCCTTCCAACCCAAACCATTCCAGGCTCCTCCAATCCTTGGGTTCTACAGTGTTCATGTGAATTTTACAGAGGAACCACCCAAGTCAAGAAATGTGTTGTCTGTTAATCCTTGTTAGTAATGTGTAGACTCTAAGAAAGCTAGTTCCTTGTTTAAAGCATTATTTATGCCAAGGATTGATATAAAAATAATATTCCCCATCATAATCTGATGTTACATTGGGAGGGAATGCAGCTGTATTATATTGTACATTGACTTTGTGATAATTTTATTGAAATTATTTTTGTAAAGTTGTTTTGTAAATAAAGATACTTTACTAGACCAAAACTCTCTATTCTTCTCATAAACCAAAATTCTGAGCCAAATCCCAGGTGGGGATTTTCCATGTTTTGAACTCTGCAGTTTTAGCTGCTGATAGAGAAAACAGAAAGAGCAACATCTCACAGGAGCTGAGAGACCCCAGGCACAATCCTGTTCCTCTGGGGCCAGGTTTTAAGGCACATTTGAACTTGTTTGCCCTCAGGAGGTTTGTACAAGATAAAATTGCTGCTCAGTGCCAGTGATCCTCTTCTCTCTCACACAAACTTATCCCAAATCCCCTAAAAGCCTAGGGCTGGATACAGAGCACAGCAGCAGCTGCAGAGAGCCAAGGAGCTGCTGATGATTTTCATGTAGAAAACAGCACAGAGAATGATGAATACCCTGCTCACTGACTATATAACCATTTACAACAAGAACCATTACTTGCTACCTGTTGAAACCTCTGAACAAGTTACCATGAGGAATGTCTTATTCAAAGCAATTCCTATTTCCCCTGGAAGCAGCCCATCCTTCTTCTCTATTCCCTTGTTTCCCCGTCTCTCTCATTCTCCACACATGTCCTAAGAAAACATTTTGACAAATTTCTTGACATGTTGCTGCTGCACTTCCTCCTGACCATGACAGAGCCTTGCTGCCTGGATACAAAAGTAGCAAAATAAGGTAAATTCCACTTTCCTGTGCCATTCAAGGCTCCAAACCTAAAGTCAAATAACCTTAGCTACAGAACAGTGAAATATTACCTCTGATCATCTCTGGCAGCCAAAACCCAGATCTTCAGAGTTACAAAAACACTCGGGGTCCCATCATTGTGCAAGGGCAAAACCACTTTCAAATCCTCCCTCTGCTCAGTGCCCTCGGTTAAGTGAAAACAAATGTCCATGAAATGCAGCAGGAAAGGGAAAATCCTCAGAAAGATCCCCAGAAATCCTTCCTGGCTGCTCCTCTTACTGCAGCTCATACCTGGAATGCTTTGTCTTGGAAGGAGCCTTCTCCTATCTCAGCTCAGGTTTGGCACGGGACCAAATTCAAAGCCAGGCTTTCCATCCTCACTGACTCAGCTGGAAAACTTCCCTCTTCCCTCATCACCTCCCAGGACCAGCAGAGCTCTCCCACAGCCCAGCACACTTCTCTCTTCCCTTCCTCACCCACCTCCGCTTTCCTTTGTCAACACTTTGGAAATAGCATTTTGGGGGAATTTGGGCTCCAATTATGAAAGAGCCCCCACAATCCTGCACTGCCACCCCAGATGAAGGAGGGAGGCTGAGCCACAGCCCAGCAGCACAGGATGCCTGGGCTCCTCTGGAAGGTGGAGCAGCCAAGGGACTCTCTGATTTCAGAGCAGAGCTGTTGCTGTCCCCTGGGAATGGGAATAAATCCGTGTGACCCCGGTGCTGATGGACGGTGTCAGCACCGTTCAGAGCCCACGCTCGCTGGGGCACAGCGCTCAAACCCTCTCTGAAGGGCTCTTTTTTAGCTATTGAGATAAGAACCTGCTTGTGCAGCCAAAGCCTTGCCCCAAGTAATGAAAAACTCCAGTTCCTCTCCATCATTTGTAGGCAAGGGGCCAAAGTTTGCTCAGCCTGGTGCCACGAGGCTGAGCCCTGTCTGCTCAGCCCCACAACACGGCTTTGTCTCCAAAACCTGCCTTGGAAATTCATCCTCAGCAGCTTCACCTCCTGCTCCTCCCTTCAGCAAACCCTCTCAGGGCAGCTCTCAGTCCTCAGCCTGCTGCAAACCCAGCTTCTCATGCCTGAATCACCAATTATGTGCGCTGTAATTAAGTCACTACGCAAAACAAATCATTTTGCCTGTTCCGAGTGGCCCCTTCCAGGCTGGAATTCCCAAACCTGATATCCACAGCAACATCTGCTGGTGGAAGAACATAAATGCACAACTCAGTGCTGAAACCTTCCCTCGTGGGTGTGCCTCACTTTTCCCAAAACCATGGAGATATTCACTATTTCTTTCTGTTACTACCCCACAGTTACAAGTGGCAATGAATAATGTCAGCACATTAGGAAGTATGAAGAGAATAAATTTATAAAATAATTTATAAAATTATAAAATAATGTATAAATTTATAAAATAATTTACAAATTTATAAAATAATTTACAAATTTATAAAATAATTTACAAATTTATAAATATGGGATGCACACGTTTCATTTGAGGGCTTAACACCTTCATAACAATGTTCTTTTAATAATTAGTTGTTGCTACTTGCTGCTCTTACCCCTACTCGAAGGAGAACACTGATTTTACCACTGCAGTGCCACTGTACTGCAACAAACACTGTGAACTTTATTACTCCAATTCAATTGGAGTTCCTTTTATAGAGGAATGAATATTTTTGGCTTTTTAAACCACAAAAAATAAAACTTAAAGAGATTAGCAACATTGTTCTATATAAAGCTAATAATGTAGGCAAAATGAAAGAACCACTACAAAGCTTTTATATCTTCCATCTGACTATTTCACCACAGAATGGGATTAATTTCATCCCCATTTCTCTTTTGGAGCCTTGCCAGTGACACAAGGAGGAAGGATAAGAGCTCCATGGCTGGTGCCTCATATCAGGGCTGATAATTTGGAGTCCATTAGCAGGAATATTAATGAGTACAGATGTATTTCCTGCCCTGTGGGTCAGCCAATCCATACCAAAACCTCCAGAGATGCAGTAAATTCATATATTCCTTGAGAAAGTCTGTTATTAGAGTGTGATTAATACATTTGATCACATTTATAGATACTGCCACAGGTCTGCTTTATACAGCTGAGATGATTTGTTTAACGGTTGGATTGATCCTGGAGTCTTTCCCACCCCTAATGATTGATTGATTCTATAAGAGAATGGTTCTATACATGCTCTGGTCACACAGCTGGACTAAAGCCAAGCTCTGGGCTGGGCCTACCTTGAAGGACACTCCTGAGGATGGTTTCTGTGTGCTCAGCCAGCAGCTCTGCCTCGGCGATGGCAGCCAAGGACAGGTAACTGGACATGTTCCTGCACAGCTCCTTATTCCCCCTCTGCAGGAACTTCACTGCCACTGGCACAGCCAAGGCCATCACTGGAAGCCTGTTGTAATTCTGCGAAAACATGAGAGAAAAAATATTAATATTGTGCTGGGCAGAGTAGGGGAACCAAAGTCAGAGCAACAAGGGGGGAAAAAAGCAACAAACTTGTCAAGAAAGGTCATGTTTTGGTACCACCTCTGAAGGCAGGAGTCAAAGAAAGAGCAAATACAGAAATTTAAAACTACTGCAGCAGAAAATGTTAAGAATAGCCCCATCTTTGTCTTCTGCAGAAGGGCACTAACAAAATACGTGATGCATAAATAGAAATCAATGTAAATAAAATATATAAAATATGAAGTACACCAAGTACATATTAACATTTCTAACAAGACATTTTGTGCTTGGTTCTCCTTGGCTGTATCCATCACCCCAGAGCACAGGAAACACCTTGGAGCAGCCTTTCCCAGGAACTGCACTGGCCACTTGCTCCCAGTGCAATAGCTTTAGCATCGATCATTAATTATCCTGTAATCGCTAAGATTTCATTTTTTTTAAAATTTAAATTCACAGAATCCCAGAATGGTTTGGGTTGGAAAGGTCCTTAAAGCTCACCCAGTGCCACCCCTGCCATGGCAGGGACACCTCCCGCTGTCCCAGGCTGCTCCAAACCCATCCAGCCTGGCCTGGGACACTGCCAGGGATCCAGGAGCAGCCCCAGCTGCCCTGGGAAACTCCAACCAATTCCTCTGAACACTGAGATTTCTCAGGAGTTCAAACTCCTCTTCCTAAAGTGCCCCCAAGCTTCTGGAATCTCAGGGTCCCTGAATGGGCACTGGGGGTTTTGAATCCAGGTTAGAAAAGGTTTTCTGCTATTGTCTATACAGGAAATGTTGTGTACAAACCACACACATCCATTGCTGCTCAATCCCCAGCAGCAGGACACGTTTGTGTTCCCCATTCCCTCTGGAGCCTCCTTAACCAGCGCTGTGCCCTCCTCTCCACTCAGTTCTGAGCAGCTCTTTGAAACTGGAGCACATCCCCATTTCTGAAAATAATCCTGCAATGTGATTATGTCTAATTAGCAGCTGAAATCCCAGGCAACCCCTGGAACCCAGATGTTTCAGACAGCGACAGAGCAGTGCAAAGGAAGGCAGAGCAGACTTTCTGGACCTTCACTCTGGAGCAGCCCTGAACAGAACAAATTCAGACTGAGAAATCCCAAATCTGTTATTCCACAGAGTTTGAGGGGCTCTGAGGATTTTTCCTTGGAACACAGACTTGCCAAGCAGTGGACACTCCCTTCCAGAGACTCCTGAGGAAGAAGGGGCTGCAGCCACCCCTTGGTGACAAGACAAATAATCCTGGCAGCTGCCACATGACCAAAAGCTGCATCTTTAATGAGAAAAGCTCTTCAGATAAATGGAGCTTTCTGCAGCAGCATGTTTAAATCAACATAATGCCTCGTTATGTTTGGCTGAGACACCACAGAGCAGGAGCCAAGTGCTGCTCCAAGTTATTGCTCTGCTACTCCACACAAAGAATGGGAAGATAAGGCTTGGCTCTGACTAGGATTTAAAAGATCTAAGAAAATTCCAAAGAACAATTCTATTTCCCCCCCCAATCACCCCTAACAATAAAGATAAAATCCTCAGTTAAGAAAAAGGTTTGAATTCAGAGGGAAGGAGAAAGGTTTCATTTGTTCCACGATAAACATCAGGGCAGGAAGGCACACTTAGAAAATGTGGAGGTGACAATGAAGAGCAGATTTCAATAAAGTGATACAGTGATGGTTGCAAACCTTGGGGACCTCCCTGCTGCTGATATCAACAGAGACCTGTCTGAGATCCAGCCCAGCTGGCAGATATTCATTATTGTTCCAACTGTCCCCCACATCTGCTGGAAAACCTCATTTTATACCTCTTTTTTTTTGTTTTTAATGCAAAGGAACTTGCCAATAAAAGCTCTGCTTTAGGGAGCAGCAAATGTGATTTTATAACTCAGCTGTGGCTGCCTCATCCCTGGCGGTGTCCCAGGCCTGGCTGGATGGGTTTGGAGCAGCCTGGGACAGTGGGAGGTGTCCCTGCCATGGCAGGGGTGGCGCTGGAGGGGCTTTAAGGTCCTTCCACCCCAAACCATCCCAGGATTCTGTGAGTTACCCCAACAACCTCAAGAGAGGAGGAATCAGAACAGTGCAATTCCCCAGGCTCCTACTTTTAAACATAACCACCCAAAAAGAGAGTTACAGAAGCTTTTTAACAACTAAAACCAAACTGGCAAGGAGAGCAGAGCCCTGCTGCTTCCAGCCCAGCTCTACCTGCAGGATACAGCTCATGATGTCAGATGCAATTTTGGCGTGTGGGGCATCCTCATCTTTTCCAGAGGGCTTCAGGTTGTGCTCCAGACACGATTCCCAGAGAGCCACCAGGGCTTTCCCGTGCTTTTCAATGGATGCAGTCTCCCTGATGGCCGTGGTGATGCGGGTGATGCAGATCTCCACCACGGCCTGGTCGTTGTCATTGCTCTGGTAGTCCTGGGGCACAGCAGAACACATCTGCCAGTCAGCTGGACTGCCAGGACCCCACAAAATTAACTTTTTGTAACAGACCAGTGCCCATTTTTCCACATCCTCCTTTACAACAAATGTTCAGCGTGATAAAACTCTGTAATTTGTCATCCCACAGGTCTTAATTCTCATTACTGGGAAGGTATGGACCCCTATAATCTCATATAATCTTTAATATGCTTTAAATAACTATTCAATAAAAAACTATTGTAAAGATGAACTTGAAATATCTTTGAAGCTGGTGGGAACTGGATTTTGCCAGCACATTTTGAAATATTTTGCTTTGCTCTTCAAGTCTTATCAGAAATTTAAATTGTTTATATTCCCACCCCCCCTTATTTATACAATATAATCTTGTAAAAATATAAATTATTAAGGACACTGTTTCACTCACTGCAGCTGAACTAATGATTCTGATCTGTTCAAGAGCTTCAGAGAGGCTTCCTTCAATCTCAGCATCCTCCAGGGAGAAGAGATCCCCTGCTCGGGACAGGTCCTTCTGTGCCAGGACCAGCCCGAAGAGCTGATGCATGGCCCTGCTCAGCCACCTCTGCAGGCACCACGGGCATGCAGCTCTCAGCTGGGGACACAACAGGAACAATCCTGCCCAGGAGAGATCACTTTAATATGGAGGATAAATCTGGGCTGTATTTCAAGGCTTCCTTGGCCCCAGCCTAAAAGAAAACAATAACAAAAAAAAAAAAGAAAAAAGAAGAAAAGTCAGCAAATGTATTTATTGACATATTCCAGTTTAGCAAAGATTTTTAAATGTGTGTGAAAGTGTCAGACACGACCCCCCAAGCCAGGGATATCCTTGAGCACAATCATGAACTGTGTGAATTTCTATTAAGTAGCTTAAAATTAGATTAAAAAATCCGTAATAAGTGAACCCAAGGTTTTCTTGCTTTCTGTGCACATTACCTGAGCAGGCTGGTGCCTGGACCAGCTGCTGAGGGTTCCAAACCCCTTTCCCTGGTCAGGAGAAGAGCTCCAGGAGGAGGAAGAGGAGGAGGGTGAAGCCTCTTCCTTTGTTTTCTGGGTTGTTGTGTCTTGACTCCAGAAAAACATTATTAGCAAGATTGAAAAGATAACAAGCTTTGTTTAGACAAAAACTGTCACTTTTGTTGCCAAAATGATCCCTAGGGTCTTTTAAACTCCTGTAAAACAAAGCCTTGGCTGAGGAATGGAGCAGAGGCTGAGCCAGGCAGGGCTCACACTTTGGGAAGTTCTAAAACTGTGCTTAGGTCCCACGTGGATTCACTCTGGGTGTCAGCTCCTCTGGATTCTTCTCTGGAGTTGACAAAGCTACAAGATATATCACTTATAATTATTAGTTGAGATATGGAGTACCCTCAATCCCTATTTTATTCTCTTTTTTCTCAGGGGGAAAATATAAAAAAAAGTCAAATTTAATCATAGAATCACAAAGCATTAAAGGGTTGGGAGGGACCTTCGAGCCCATACAGTCCCAACCCGCTGGCACAGGCAGGGCCACCTCCCACCAGCCCAGGAGCCCAAGGCCTTTCCCAGCCTGGCTTTGAGCATTGCCAAGGTTGGGGCATCCACAGGAGGAGAAAAACCAAGGCAAAGCACTGAGAACATTCTGGAACTCCTTGGAACAATCTCCATTGTAATAGGCAGCACATTACACTTGTTAATGGCCCTGTTTTAATTTCCTTGACTCTATCAACACTCCAAATTCCATCAGGCAGAAGCAGAAAGGAGCTGAGATCGCAAATCCCGAGGCACAAATTGCCCACCTGAACCACAGGGGTGGTGGGAACTCAGATTCTCTCACCCTACTCACACTCAGCCATCCCCAAGACTAAAAACAAAAGTTCAGAAAGCCCCAGACAGATTTTTTTACCTGCTCAGGATCCCCCCGGGCCATCCTTAGGGATGGGGCCAGGTGCTCTGGGGACAAAGCTGCCCCTTTCCTCCTCTTCCCCGGGGCAGCATCCAGGGCCAGCAGAACAGGCAGGGATCCTGCAGCTGGAAATTGTGGTACCACGGGGAAGGCATCCCAGGAATGCAGAATAAAGCAGCCTAAAAGTTACCCATGGCTCTGTCAGGTGACTGCAAGAACCCAAATGCAGGGAGGCCTTATCTCTGAATGAGCTGCTCTGTTTCCAGGGCAAAACACAAAGCCTGCTCCACTTGAGGGCAGTTGTTTTTAATAGAGGAAACAGAACTCTCTGTGTTAGTGGAAAGCTATCCTTCCCTGGGAAGGAGGGGAAACAGCCCTCAGTAAGCTCACACTGCTTGAAAGAAAGAGAACAAGTGAGCAGCCTCGCTGGAGAGGAGATTTCCTGGCCAAAGGAATAAATGCTGTGGTTCTGCAGCCTTTACACGAGCACAAAAGAGGGTCTGAGGTTTGCTTTGGCTTTTAACACGAGCCTCAGGAGCAGCACAACAAAATGTGCCCACATCAGGCAGAAAAGTGCCCCAGGAGGGAAGGTCTGCTGAGCCCTCCCTTTCTGAAACACAGCAGCCCCTTCTGCAGAGGCTGAGCTTCATCATCCTCCCAGCTCCCTTCCAGCTCAGGATATTCCCTGATCCTTGGGAATATCACTGGCCTTCTGCAAGTGATCCTCCCCTGGGTGTGCTCCTGCACAGGAGCTTCTCAGAGGTCCTGAGCTCTACCTGAACAGAGAATTTGATTTGAGTTTTTATAGACAATACCCAGGATAATGCAGAAAAGCATTTATTTATTTATTGTGAGCTCTTGGAAATGGAATTATAGCAAATCCTCTTAATGCTTACATTGTGTAACAGTGCTGGAAATACTTTCCTTGCACCAGCATTAAAGAGAATTGTTCCTTAAGTATTTCCTCGCTTACTACAAGATTTGCTATTAATAGGCAGCAGGCACTGAGCAAGAGGGAAAACAAATTATGTGTCTTATAAAATGCCATTTTTAAATTTTCTTTTTTTAAAGGGTCAAGCTGGGCAATAAAATCGCTGCAGGGTGTAGTTTCTGAGGTGTCTCATCACCTTGAACCTACATCAGCTTGGCTCCACACCAGCCATCAGTTTTCTCACTTGCTGTATTTGTGTCCCATGCACAGAAGGAGTGGAAAAGGCAAAGGATTTGGCCAAAGTTGGTCCATCCTGCCCAGATCCCCCTGGCACTGCATCAGAGGGGATTCACAGCAGGAATTTGCACCTTTCCAAAGCCAGAAGGTGGGGAACAAAGCAGGAACTCCAGCACTTGGAACAAACTTCATTGTTATGCAGGAAAAACCCCTCAGTTTACAACACAAACCACTTGCAGCGGTTCTGGTGCAGTCCCACATTGATTCCAAGGTTTGATCTGATTTTCAACACCTCCTTTCCCTTTTCATGGCAAGCTGAAAGAGCCACCCTTTCCCTGGGACCTTGAAGCTGCTCCCCTCCAAGGGGAGTCTCTCCACTTGCTGCAGGCACAGCATTCTTACCAAAGCTCCTTATCAGAAGCAATCAGAATAAAAGCCAGCCTGACAGGTTTCAGAGCTTGAAGCTACTCAATTGGTCTGTTTGCAAAATAATTCCCCCAATAATAGAAGATTAACAATAAAAATTCCATGTAAAAGGGCAGTTGGACCTACAGGCATCCAAAAGGCAATTGAACTTGAGCTGAAAGGCTGAGACTTGCAGTTTTATCAGGAGCTCAGCTTCTGCAGAATGACATTAGAAGGACAGGAAAAAAATCTCTTTTAAACCAAAGAGGAAGGCAGAAGACAATTTTTTTAATATATATTTACAGTGAAGGGAATTCTACAAGAAAATAATTTCCTTAACTTCCAAAAGACTTGGAAAGTAAATCCAGTTGCTTGATTTTCTGGGTGCTATCCCACTGAAAACAGAAACACAACCTTCAAACAATCGTGCTATGACATTTTTTATCTAGTTCTGTGCTACACAACATCCACCAGGAAAGCCTTCACTCTGGTTAAGGAATTTTAGGGAGCTCAGGAGTTTATGTAAATCCTTTAGAGGATTTTCTGGTTTCTCCCTTGCTGGAGGACAGGGATGCTCCCAACTCAGCCCAGGGAGGGTTCCCAAGGAAATCCAGTTAATTACCAGAGTCCCTCTCCTCTGGGATCCCAGTTTTCCATGGGCACCACACCATGGCTCTCTCCAAATGCTGCAGCACAAATCCCACAGGGAATTTCTTATTCCCCACGGGAGGGCTGAGCCACCACAGGTGCCAAAGCTCTTTGCCCAGCACAAAGCCACACTCATTTTCTGAAATCTTCAAAAACCTAAAAGGTACAGAATGAGCATCTGGCTCAAAAATATAACTTAAAGTGTCCAGTAAATTCCATGGGAGAGGAAAGTGATCTGGGAATTCCCTGGCACTGGAGAGACTCATGTTAAAGGACTGGGAACTGTTTTATCATGGTCATCTTGGGCACAACAGAGCCCAGAGCTCGGAGTAACCTTAAAAAGGAAACCAAAAGTCCCTTTCCTTACCTCGCAGCCGTGTTGCCATGCTCAGCTCATGGATCACACAGAGTGCTTTGGATGCCTTGGATGAAAAGGGGGAAACAGAAGGAAAATAGTGTTAGTGATTCTTTGCCTTTCCAGACTGTAAAATCCCCCTCAGGACTCCTCCAGGAATGAGTGGTTTGCACCAAACAGGGTTTAATCCTCAGGACCTGGGCCCTTAAAGGCCAAACACAGCAGGTTTGGATTTCCATGCTCTGCAGATAAACATTTACAACAAATGCATATTTATTTTTAGTTTCCTTTTCCATGAATAGCAGGAAGATTATTCTAATCTTCAAAGAAAAAAAACCAAATTTCAGGTAGAATTCCATTCTGTTGAAATTCTTTGTTTCCATCTTACAAGAAAAAAATTTTGTGGAATTTCTGTCTCAAAGAGTTACAGAAGTTTGTAATATTGCCAATATTGCTGCTGGATACTTCCTTTCCCCCCTTGCACTGACCCAGGGAAAAAAAAAAAGCCTGGATACATTTCCCAAGAACATCCACATATGCAACTTATGAACAGAATATTACAAGATATTTCAGAGAACCTTTCCCCTCTGTCTTGCACTAATCAAAATTTACTTTACTTTTATGCTTAAGCATTCTTTCAAAACTTGGAAATAAAGTTCTCACATTTTTCAGTGAAAGAAAAGGATTAAAGATTATATTGAGAGAGCATCATTTTCACACAGGGTGAATAGACTACAGCAGTTCCCATGGGATCAGCTGCATATATTTAAAATCTTCCCACAAGACAACCATTGTTTCCTATGAGCCTCTCTCTTTTTTTTTCTGTCAGGATATGTTTCCACACTTCACATCCCATGAAATCCCATGGATGCTGAGCTGAACCAGACGATGAAATGATAAATTATGAAGTCTAATTATTAATTTTAACCCCTAGAATTAATTTGAGGGGTTAAAACTAGTTTTTACTAATGAAACACCTCACTGGAGTGCTGGGAGTTGAGTGGCTCTCAGCATCCAGCTCTTGGACACGAGGAACCTGAGTCCCTATGGACACATTGTCCCTCCACTGCAGGACAATCAGGAATTACAGAGCCTTTTAAGAGATCTCTCCCACCAGAATTCCAGGGCTGGAAGGCAGTTCAGGCTCCTTCCAGATGTGTGAATATTTTCCCCTGTGATGAACTGGTTTAATCAGCAGCTTTATGGGGCAGAATCTGCCTGAACTGAGGCAATTTTGGCTGCACAGCCTGTGCAAAGGCACTGCTGCAGAGGGGTAAGAATGTACTTAGGAACTTCTACTGCTGCAAACAGACAACTTGATCAATTTTTTAATATAAATAAATTATTTGATTATCTGGGTGCTGTCAAGACAGTTTTCTCTGATTGTCAATCCAGAAGAAACTGTATTTGGCAGCTGGTTCAGCACACACTGATGCTTTATATAACACTTCATGAGACTCAGCATTTTTAACATCAGCAAGGCAGATTTGTAGGAATTCCATGTTTAAATGTCTCTGTGATATTAAAATATTAGGCTAAACTAAACAACACAGTGCTAAAATGGAATCAATGGCTTCATAAGGAACACCAATTCCATCACTGTCACAATGATGCTGTCAAAAGCTGCTCATTTTCAAGGGCTGCTTAATGAGCTTTTAGGTCTGTGAGTTATTTCCAAGACTGCAGTGATGTTACAGAAAAAGAATTTGGTTTAAAATTTTACAAAGGGAATAATGGATATTTCTGTCCAGAGAGAGTGAAGGAGGAAATGGGGCAGAGCATGAGGGTCAGAATACAGGAACCCTATGATGAAAAATGCCACTCTGCCAGGGAAAATTGGACTAGAGCAGTAAATAAATGCAAAAAATCACTGAACCTCAAAGTCTCCTGAAGCAGCAGTCACCAGACAAGCACTGAATGTCCTGAAGTTCCTCCCAGGTACCTGGCAATCCACCCCAGGGTCTCTCCAGCTGGTGATTTAATGGGACCAGCAACTCCCTGCTGTGCCAGGGTTCCCCCAAAGCAAGGCTGGAGCCCAGGGACAAAGTTTCCCCAAGCACAGGGAGGGAAAGGAGACAGCTGAGCCCCAGGAGGATCCAGGGGTGCTGCAGGTTCATGTCCCACGCACAAACACTGCTTTTCCCTTCCCTGGCACCTCCAGCCAGCTCACTGCACCTCTCACAGGCATCACTGTAATACATTCCTACATCTCATACCCACGGCTCCTGCAGTCAGAGAAAGCCAGGCACAGCCACGCTGTTAACGACCACATTCCCTCCAAATCCTCCTCCATTATTTAACACTCAGCCCTGCTCCTCAACTCCCCTCCTCCCAGTAATTTATTCATTATTCAAACTGTTACATGAACACATATTTAAGTTATTCATACCTCTCAGAAGCGAGACCTCGGAAGAAACATGAATAATTGATGGCAAATTGAGGCTCTTTAGAGAAATTGGGATGGGCTCCATCCCAGCTGCCAGTGCCCCTTCCATCCCCCTGGCTCTGGTATGCGAGCGAGGCTGCTCAGCCCTGTCAACCCGACCGTACAGGCTATTCAGTTACCCTGGAGTTGTCATGTGGAATCAAGCAAACAAATATCTTCTCTCCCTCTGCCCCAACCCTGGTGCCGGAAAACACATCAGGAATAATTCCTCACCCAGCTTAACTCGGGCAGCAGCTCGAGTGAAAGTGCTCCCAGCTCGATACGGAATTTGAATTCGTTAAAAGGATTTATCAACAGCCAGTGGTTACATTCAGTTAATTAATAACCTGCTTAAGAGTAACAAGGAAATTGCAGAAGTTAATATTACTTGTGGGGCCTCTTCTGGAAGGCTGGAACCTGCCAGTGCCTCTGGAGGAACTGGATCCAAAGGAAAAGTCAGGGCAGAGCAGGACACTGAGGAAACGCAGCCTTTCAGCTGACACTTGTGGCATCTCAGCAGCTCCTGAACCTCAGCCAGCCCTTCCCAAGGCACCTGCCCAGGTGGGACCCATGCCCAGGACCTACCTGAGCACCTCCAGAGCTTGGCAGCTGTAACAGAAATCATCTCCAAAGCATTCCAGAGGCATTCCACACACACCTGATCCTTCCCCATCAAGCACGTCCATCCTTTCCCCCTTAACTTCCCTCTGACAAATGAATTCTGGGTTCCCACCAAGCCAAGCTTAACTAAAACCGACCCCGTGGAACCGAGCCTGGCTGTGTCCTCCTCTCCTGGGAGAGCACAGGGGCAAACCCCCACTGGGAGTGTCCCAGCAAGGACATTTTTCTAATAGCAGCCAAAGAAATATCAAAGGAACCAACTGGGAACAGCCAAGTGTAAGGTCAAGCACCCTTGGGCAGCTGCTGGGAGAAAGGAAAGCCTGTTTGCCCAAAGATAATGAGGAGAAACATTTGTACAACTCTTGTTAGGGCTTCTCTACTAATGAGAGAGTTTATAA